CCTTAACGGGAGCAGGAGACACCCACGGGATCTGCACATTTTTGGGTAGTTTGGTGTGCTGAAGACTATAGCCTGAGATTGCAGTGTTGTTGATGATGGATAAGAGGAACGGTTCAATAGCTAGATTGAATAGGACAGGTGAGATGCTATCACCTTGCCGAATGCCTCGTCGTTGTGCGATAGGTTTCGTCAGAAAACCGTTGATGTTGACATGGATGAAGTTATCGAAAAACAGGTTGAGGATGCAGGCGACGAATTGTGGTGGAAATCCAAACTTCAACAGTACTTGTGAGAGATACTGGGGGTGGACTCTGTCATATGCTTTGGCGTTGTCCAGCATGATTCCAGTGTATTCGACAAAGTTGGTTGCATTTCGCCAGCTGGCGGATGAAGCGTTATCCATAATTACCCTGAGAGACATGCCGTGATCACCGATATATCGACCTGACAAGAAGCCGCATTGATATGGGTTGATGAGTTTGTTGGCTACTGGTATGACACGAGAGTTCATAATACGAGTAAAGACTTTGCAGTCGGCCGCAATCAATGTGATGGGGCGATAATTGGCGAGATCGCTCCGGTCCCCTTTCTTAAACAGAAGGATAATACAAGATTCCTGCCATGATTTGGGAAATTTGGCGTGCTGGATAGCGTCATTAAATACTTGGTGCACGATGTCTCGGCAGCTAGGGTGAGATATAATGAGATATAAGATTTCATACCCGATACCATCTAATCCTGGGCTGCTTTCTTTGGGAGTTCGAGCAGACCCTAGCAGAATGTCGTCGTAGTCTATTAATGCGGTGATCTGGTTGGCGTCGTCGGCTGACAGAGTGGTGTCGATGTAGTCCAGCATTTTGTTCAGGCAGGTAGAGTCTATCCGTTCTTCGGTGTACAGTTTCTGGTAGAATCGTTCTGCGGCGTTCAGCTTGGAGGCAGTGTCGAGACAGTCGACCCCAGTACGAGGGTGCTTCAAGTTGGGGATGGTTCGCTGATCAAGGCGTTGTTTACTGGTCTGCTTTATGTATCCAGGCGACTTTTCACTATTTTCAAGCCATCGTTTCCCGGCCTTAAGAAGCTGAATATCCACGATTTCCTGTTGCAACTTGGCTAGCTCGTTCTCCACATCCTGCAACAGTAGCCTCAAGCAAGTAGTGTCATGTCTGTAGCGTCGTATCAAATTGTTCCTTTCACTTTGCAGTGTCTTGATTCTAGCCTTCCTCCAATGATCGTGTGTTCTGGTGAACTGAATAGTAACCTGTTTGGCCTTCTTTTTAATAAGATCCCACTTTTCTTGAGCAGACAGAGAGCTGTCGAGTTTCACCGCAACAAATGTTCTAAGCTCGTCGTCTAGTTTCTGTCGATACTTATGGTTCTTGGCGAGGTGAGGGTTCGCTCGCCAAAGTCCTTTACCGCAGTTAGTCAATCCAGTAGTATATGTTTTGGTCAAGAGAGCATGGTCTGTCCAATCTGGCCTGATAAACGAGTTAGTGGCATCACTCATTTTGGAGGCTATGTCGTGGCCTGCAAACATATAGTCGATGGTCGACATGGTGGACCCACGCCGAAAGGTATACGCATGAGGTTCATTCTTTGGATTGAGACAATCGGAAAAGTGGGTGTTCAAGAAATCGGCAAACTGCTTGGGTTTCCCTGCACGGTGAGTATGATGGTATGTGGTGGTGTCGAAACTGTAGTTCATATCGCCAGCTATGATCAATGAAGGGATGATTTCAGGCATGCTTTTGAGGTGGCTGGTGATTTGGCCAAAAAAACGGTTTCTGGCTCTATAATCGTCTGCATGTGCATAGATATTAAGTATATAGATGGGTGGCATATTGTTGTCAACGAGTGAGATTTTGGCTAAGATACCCCTTCCTTCGTTGAAAACGTGCAATTGTTGTAAATTTAGAGCTTGATTAAAGTTGATTATTCCACAATGAGTGGTCCATATAGCTTGGTGGTACTGGAATTGGTACTTAAAGTTGGTGGTGATGCTTTCGAAGGAGTGTGATTGAGCATTAGTTTCTTGACATAGTAAAATATTGCATAGTTCTCCTTTGAGATGCCGTATAAAGCTGTTGGTAGCAGCGATGTTGTATTGTTTGTAGAGGTTCCTGCAGTTGATGGAACCTATCCTAATATTGACATTTTTAGTTTGTGTTGTCCCAATCATTAGTTTATAATGAAGTGGTTGTTGATGAGGCGCCATACGCTGCATCCGCCGTGCCATGAGGCTCTTGTTGCTTGAAGAGCTTCTTGGCATGTCCTTCTTCATCCGATCCCATGGGGGTGGAATCCATTGCATTCCTCTTGTGGGATGTCTCAGGCGTTGTATCATCCTTACGGCTGGAGACCGGTGGTCTGACATCACGAAGATTGTAACGATTCCTGAAGTTAGCTGTGGTGAGACTGTCCGAGTCCTCCTCTCCAGTACTACTGGTGTCTTCGTATTCAGATTCGTCAGAGCTTGGCGCGACAGGCTGGTTGGCCGATTGATCCTCCTGGGTTGCACCCAGTTTGTCATCCTTGAGAGCTTCGCTGTTTGAAGAGTCAGCAGGAACCTCTGTGCTAGAAGTTTCAGTGATAACCTCTGTGCCATGAGGCTCGATTGTCTCCTGAATCGCTTGCATAGGAACGTCTTGCACAGGTTCAGAAGATGCCGCGGATGCAACCGATTCCGTGTCACTGGTGTCCATAGAGGATTCGCCTCTAGTCGTTGCCTTCTGTTTGTTAAGGTACTTCGGCTTGGGTACTTGCATTAGCTCTAGAAGATCAATTTCTCTTCCAGTAGGCTTTGGAGCGGGAGGGTTCCCCTGGGTGTCAGAATTGCGACGGCGACGGTCTTGGGATGGTTGGTCCTTCTTCCTATTCCAGTAAGCCTGGGGGCAAGTAGCAATCAGATGCTCAAGGCTACCGCATTTATGGCAGGCCTTCCTTTTCTTCCTAGGACAGTCAGCCTTGACGTGATCATCGGTATGGCAATCCGAACAGATGGGTTGCATGTTTGCCCATGTCAAGCGGAGATTCTCCTGCGAGCCATCAAGTGCGACCTGAGGCTTCAACTCGGCTGCATAATGTTTGGATTTGTCGATATTAAGGGTGACGAAGCCGCGTCCAGTGAACCAATCCCCATCCTTGGAGTGGCAGAGCCCGACATTGAGGATATCACCATATTCTTCAAAGGCTTTGATCAACAGAGGTTGGAGTACCTCCACCGGCTTGTAAGGAATGGCCGAAATGCTAACTCGAAAGATGTTGGCATGCTTGTCCAGGGTCTTGTTGACTTGGATAGTTGCACCTTGGAGAATAAACTCTTTCTGCAAGGCTTCCATACAATCCTCTTCTGTGGGGAAGTTGATTTCAATGACTTTGTGATTCTTGCCAACCACACGGTGTCGAATACCAAGACCTTTGGGATATTGTTCACGGAGACAGCTTGATAACGATTTCTCCTTGAAGTGCATGCCGACGAACTGTACACAGTCGATGATCAGAGAGAAATCATCCTGGGCTTCAACGAAGGTGGACGTGAAGTCAAGAGCTTTGCCGATAACACCATTATTAGAAATGGAAGGGGTGATCTTGAATGGAGTTCTCTTTTGCGAGTTGATATCCTTGAAGAATGAAGCATATGTAAACATATTGTTGCCTGGATTATGGCTGGAATCCAGCGTAGAGCCACCAAAGTTGGTGGTCCTGCCTTTTTCACCTAAATTGTGATCTTTAGCGGAGAAAGCCATGATTTTCGATGAAAACCATGAGGTACCCCTCCTGCTTTTTGGTCGATTTTTGGCCATGTTTTTTTTGACCCAAAAAGTTGAGCAAAGGTATCAGGAAGTTACTACTACTCGAGTGCAATCGTTTAGTCTCATTCCGGTGACTCAGAAAGGTCTACATGTAAAGATATTAAGGATTAGAAGCTGTCAAATTTGGTTATATTTCATACATTTGCTTGTCAAGAGGCGCGTTCCTGTTATGTACACAAAGGCGTAAACACATTGTATGCATTAATACAGGTTCAGAGCATGCTGTTACATCCAAATATTCAGCTGGAAATATCAAGTTGAGTGGCACTGTTGTATCGCAGTACCATATCATCATGATACAGCTCATTAGTAAAGCGATGACGGCTGTAAGGCACGCTGGACATTTTAGATGCAATAGATGGTCTGCATCTAGTAAAGACAATGCTATAAAATTAGCTCAAATATAGGTGATCCATAACACGGTAACTCAAATCACTAGGTGGTTCGTATCATATCCGTACAATTACTAACATTAATGCTTCAATCCATAAACAAAAACCATTGGTGCCGACTACTATCATGTCAAAGCAGTGGTTTATGGTGGATCTTTGGTTTTACATTTGATTAGTCCCATTAACAATTCTGATTAGACCTTTTCCATTGAAATTTTATTAATAAAACCAAAATGCTCATGTCAAGTGTAAAGTACTGTCATAGACATAATAAAGCAGAGTGTCAAGTATGGAATCAACGTTCTATAGCTACAAAACACAGCATGAGCGGTTATGTATCCAAAAGAATGCCAACACGCGAGTGTTGTTTGAAGCCAAAAATTGACCATCTAATGCTCTATTACTTTCTAAATACAGTGAGATATCTTTTAATCATTGCATTTTGGTGTTTTACAAAAAGAAAAAAACTTCTAAATGCAAATCTTTACACTGAACAAGACTTTTTGGTGACGGTACATTTCCTTATTTTTTGCTCTGAGCAAGAGCTTTGATCAGCATTTGAGTTGTCATCTTTCATTCTATACACTCATCTCATATTCAAAATCCTAGGAAGGTAGATGGAAATGTTTATTATAAAAAGGAATAAAAAGGGTGTCTACAATTATAAAAATGGGGAAAGGGGAGCAATGTTTGAGTGTGTGGGATGTTTGCTTTCTTGCAGAGTTATTATAGCAGAGGAACGGGCAAGAATAGAGTAGAGAGTTATATGATAAGAAATAAAAAAAGATAGTGATCAGGATTATACATAACCCTTCTTTTGAAGGATGGTTCTTGTTTCGACAGAAATAGCGTTCCATAATTGATTGCGAGTGTTTTCATCCAGGCCACCCAAGATCACTTTTAAATGATTCACCATACGAGCAGCTAATTCAGGAGATAAGATATCAGCAGCCAATACTTCAGTGAAGATCTTGACGAGTTGAGGGATGTTAGCATTGTTGGGACCCAAGATACTAGGATGGTTGGCTTCCAAGAGATCAAGCAAGTAAGTGTATACAATAGGTGCTTCTTGATCGTCGTTTAAGATGGGTAAGGTAGCAAACCATGCAGCCAACACAGGCTCTAATTGGAACTTGGAGCTGTTGAATTTACAAATCTTGGCAATGGCAGAGATAGCATTTTCAGTAACGTAGACAGTGCCATCTTCACGGGCATCGGGAGCGTTGATTAGAGCAAACAAATGTTCCAAAGCGGCAGCACAAGCATCAGCGTATTGAGGACCACCGAATTGGCCCATGATACCGACACCATAAGCAGAGGCTTGGCGAACTTCAGTAGCTTTGTCAGAGACACCAGCAACCATTGCCTGCAAAAAGTAGTTGGAGTAATTGAAGGAGGCGGGTCCAGTGAATTCTACGAGATCATCAAACACGCAAATAGCCCATTGACGAGCAGCGTTATTGGGATGAGATAAGAATTGGACAATCAAGGGCAACATCTTGTCAAAGTAAGGCAAAAAGTTGGGACCGAGAGCCTTGAACAGAGATTGCATAGCACGGGCTAATTCGCTCAAGGCATCCTCCTCGGTGGCCTCTTCATCAGCGAGTTGCTCTTCATCCTCAGCATCGTACTCGCCAGCTTGCTTTTCTTGTTCACGCTCAGTCAAACGTTCCAAGAACTTGGTTAATTGTTCTTCAGTGCCCTTGACAAAGCTCTCGATTTGAGCAGGTTGGAGACAGTGTTCACCCAAAACATCCAAACATTCAGAGAAAGTGGCATAGGTTTGAGCCAAGAAAGTGATATCGTCTTCAATGGTCATAATTTTAGCGAGCTTCTCAAAGATGGTGTTCCACATGTTGGCGAGTTCACCAGGAGCAACGTTGGCATCCTTGGCATCTTTGAGGAGAACGGGAATAAGAGCAGCAGCGGCATGTCTGACACCATCGTGGAAGTAGAACTTTAACAAAGGCAAGGCAATCTCGAGCACTTGAGCGACATAAGGCAAGAAACCAGCTCCCAAATCACGAGCGTAAGAGACGAGCATCTCGATAGCAGTGTGCTTTTCTTCCAGAACAGAGGTCTTGATACCGATTTGTTGACCGTTGATGCCGACAAACTCCCAGCCGTCGTCAGTAGGGTACTTGGAATCGACATCCTCTTCCTCAGGATCCACAAAAGTGAATTCAGGGGTAAGCTTGGCAGATTGCAAAAGAGGAGGCATGATGTTGGGGAGATAGGGCAAGAAGTCTTGACCCATCATCTTACACATACGAGCCCAGGCGGCCAAAAGGTAGGTGGTTTGTACATCATCAGCATCAGTGACAGATTGTTGGATTTCAGCGAGGATGTTGATAAAGTCGGCAGTATAAGGTGCAAAGACGTCCTTTCCAATAGCAAGACCGATGAGAGAAGCACACTCAATGGCTCTAGAACGCAAAAGACGGTATTGTTTATCACTGGCTTGACGGAGGATATCGAGCAAAAGAGGCATAATGACACTGTGGTACTTGTTGAAACGGTCTTCAGCACAATCAGCGACAGTAGCGATGGTGGTGATGGCTTGTTCTTGAACATAGGTCTTGGAGGTCTTGAGGAGGATCAAGAGACGCTCAAAGATAGCATCAAGGTAAGGGTCCAAGATCTTCTTGTCAGCTTCCTCACAGAAATTGACCATGGCAGCAGCAGCATGGGCTTGAATACGAGGTTGAGCATCCTCCATGACAGGCAAGAGAGCGCTGATGACAGTTTCGTGAAAGTGCTTTTGGATGTAAGGAGAGAAATCAGTGGACATTTGACCGATAGCGTTACAAGCAGCGTAACGCACACGAGGGTGAGCATCCTTGAAAGAAGGCAAAATCATGTTGATAATGTTGGAGAGTTCAGGCTTCATGATCTTGATGGAACCTTCACCGATAGAGGAAATGGCCATAAGACCAGCACGACGTTGTTGCCATTCACCAGATTGAAGCATTTGAGGAATATATTGGAAAGCGACAGGTACAACAGTCTTACCACCCAATGTACGGGCAATTCTGTCCAAAGTGCTTTCACCCATCACATGGTTCTCCTCGCTATCGTCCTCTTCCAACTACAGAGAGCTATGTTAGTGTGTCTGTCATTGAAGCATGCTAGCATCGTGTTTACTTACATCGTCAGTGGTGTACCAAGATTCATCATCATCAATATCAGTAATCATCTCCATGGCAACAGGAATAATTTCAGTGGCAAAATTGGGGGTCTTGCGGGCCATGGGAGGAGCAGCTTCAGACAAGGTCAACAAGAGCTCGAGAGCAGTATGACGAGCACGATCGTCAAATGACTTGTCTTTGGCGATGGAGACCATGACGGTCAGGACGTTGGCAAAGACGGGACGGAAGAGCTTGGGACAGGTGTCACCCAGCTCGATAAGAACCACAAGTGCATCAACGAGAACTTGATCATCGCGAGCAGCAATAATAGGGGACAAGGGCTAATAACAATGATATCAGAGACAATGAATATGAAAAAGTGGAATCAGCATCTTGTTTGTATGCAATATTTACATCGAGCATGTGAGGCATCAAATCACCTAAGCTTTTTTGAACAGTTTCATCAGCTTGAATGATGTATGCAGCAGCAGCCTTCATGGCCTCCAAACGAACCTATACCATAACAGCAGTTAAACATCCACTTGTCCTGTCCTCTTGTTTTTACCAAATACTTACAGATTGACTTTCGGCATCAGTCAAACTAGTCAAAAAGACATTCTTGAGGGCATCAGTGTGTTGACCAGCAATGAGCTCAGGAACGGATGCAAAGATGCGGAAAGCTGACTCTCTGAGAGCAGCATTGGGAGATTGAGAGCACTCAAACAAGGCCTTCAACAAAGAATCCCACTTGTCTATCATTTTATGGACAGTCGATCAGCAAACCCTGTCCTCTCTTTCCCCCTTTCCCTGTCCTGAATATAATACTTACTTCCGTCACTCAAATCAGATCTGGCAACTTCAGCAATGGTGTCGGAAATCTTGTGTCTAGTGCTTTGATCAGTCTCATTGGCAAGTGCAATCAACAAGAGTTCCTTGACACCCAAACGGGTGGATTCTTGGACGATATCCCAAAGACGAGTATCGGGATTGGCGCTTGTGGTGAATTGCTTGTAAGCTAAACGACGCAAGAGAACACTACAATGAGAGCGAAGCTGGCATCAAGAAACTTGTGGTTAGTACTCGAGATCAATGTCTAACGCACGTCGTCCTTACTTGAAGTTCACTGTTATTAGCAACAAACTGAGCGAGTCCAAGAAGCAACAGATCAGGCTGTTGAGCAACCCAATTATCGTTCAACTGTGCTTCAGCGGAAGCTCTAATAATAGTTACAGCCATTAACACATGTGGCATTACTGCTGGATGTAGGTCTTACCTTTGGTTGTTGTCAGACGATAAAAGACTGGTGAGAACAGGGGCTAACTGTTGAAGAACATCAGCTGAAACAGGTGCTTGTGCCATGATTGCCTGTCGAAGTTTATAAGAATATAACAAAGAAAAAAAAAAAAAAGAAGAAAAAAGAAGGGATCCTGAAATCACACTACAAAAAAAAAGCTTTCGAGCCAAGTGCACAACGGTGACTTGTTTTCCTCTAGAATGTGTCCAATGTCAATGAATAGAATGCTCTTTATTTGATGAATAGGAAGGTATAATCACTAAGAAATCTCTGTCTTTTCAGTGTCGCTTGTAGCTTCCGCCTCAGGCTCTTGATTGCTCGAAAATTTCTGTTTTTTAGAAGGTTCTTGGTCCATGTCTTGATCCTGTTGATCATGAATATCTTCAGGTACATCCAATGCTGGAACCACTGCTGAATCCACTTCTGGATCCTCCTCTTCTTGCTCCTGCTCGACGCAAAACACCTTTCCTGGTACAGTAAATCCATGCTCGTTGTCCAGCTCGTCTCTTGCTACAAAGGTAGGAGTGATAACCAGGAATACAATACCATTTGGCTTTCCCTTGGCGGTTGCTTTCATCGTCTCCCCATTGAACTGTGTCACACCTTCCTCAACAGGCAAGCGCTCGATTTTAATTTCTTGTCCCTTGACAGCCAAGTTTAATTTAGAAGCTCTTTGAATAAGATTTTCAATCTTTTTAGGATCTTGCTTCAGTGCAGGATATACTGAACCTAGCACAGATACAATGTCTTGCAGTAGTTGGTCCTTGGCTGCTTGGATTTGAGCTTCTTCATCTGCAGGCTGCTGGACCACCAGAGCACACACCTGCTGTCTTAGACGATGAGACCATTCCTTGTTGCGGCTTGCCATCCAATCATCCAGCTCTTGAAACGCATCATTGATGGAAACACCCAAGTGAATGGGCACATCCAGCACATGGATCAGCAATGTATTGATCAGATACTTTTCCACAAACAGCGTAATGTAGGATGTGTCTAGTAAACCATCGCTTGTTGGCATCATGTATTTCTTGATGGCATCCACCTTGTCTGGCCAATGCTCAAACACGAAATCAGTGCCACCCTGTCGGTCCATCTTGGACTTGAGACCCATACATGTATTGTTCAATTGGCTCAACAAGTGCGATATCTCAGGCTGGATTGTAGACAAATCGTCGTCCGTCACCCGAATCTGCTTGACGTAGGAGTAGAAATTCACCTCTAGTTTCTGATATGCTTCCTTCTTGGCCTCGAGTTCTTGTTTTAGCAGAGCAATGTTTTGCTCTAGTTCTTGGCATCGGTCGTGCTGCTCCTCCAAAACCTGCTGAGATGCCTGTCTCCAACTCTCCAATGATTTCTTCTCCTCTTGTCTTTCCTGCTCTACTTGGCTCTGATACTTTTCCTTTTCATTCTGAATACGTTCCAGGATCTCCTTGTGTATATGAAGCGATTCATGCAACGAGTGGATAATTAGATCCTTGTCTGACTCTGTGTCCTTTTGTGAGTCCAAGACACGGAATGAATGGACGGATTGCTTTCTTTCTTCTACGGATGATTGAAAATCTTGGCTGGTTTGATCAATGTCTATGGCAGCAGTAGTAGCAGCGTCTGTGCTATGAGGTGAGGTAGGTGAGTGTGTCATAGTATTGCTGCTTTTGTGTTTGGTAGATGAAGAAGAAGAAGGAGTCGGTTTTCGCTTTTTGTTGTTATTGTAATTGTAGAAAGTGAGTAAAGGCACGTATTCCCTTTTTATGAGCATTAGGAAAACCGCCGCTGAGTTGTAGTTGTAGGATGTCGTCACTGATTTCAGAGCATCCACATGTACTTGTCCCATCCTTTGTTAGAATATGATAAAAGCAGTAATATATAGATAGGTCAACAGATTAACAGAGCAAAAAAAGAGGATTTTTAAGCACAAAATGTAAGTTGGTATATATGCGTTTTTGTTCATCTGTTTGTGTGTCGCTCTAAATCAGACGTTTACATGTCATGGTATGTAAGGGAGATGCGGTGCGTTTAGCTATCTCTGGAAATAAGGTAAAGGCATCATGCGTTCGAGTTCAAATTATAACCTGGCTTCCCTATTGTCAATTAAGGAGACCTGACGAGATTGCTATTCACACAAATTACATCCAAGGAGTTTGAATCATGGCATTCATGCATGATTGAGTCCAAGAGACAAAGCCTCTCGCATTGTTTGATCTGTCATGATGGGACCGTTTTTACTCTAGGCACCATACATGGATTGATAGAGCAAAATCTAGAGCTTTGCTTTGCTTTCCATTTTATACAAAAAACGATGAATCCAGGCGAGAACAAACCTGCTCCATTGCAATTTGAAGACAACATCTTCCATTTAGATCTCCACCCCAGCAATGACATTGTCGCTACTGGTATGATCAATGGCCGTATTCAATGGTAAAGTTTAGTCAAAGCATCTAATCTGTAGTATTGACAATGATGATCGTTTAGCCATCGCTATGGATTGGAAGGGCATGAGCACTTGTGGACAACCCGGGCATTTAAAAAGTCATGCAGAGGCGTGTCATTTACTCCTGATGGATCAGGTAATAGCCAAGTGGCTGGAGCATATTCATGTTAATTTGAATTTTGACATGTATATATCAAAGGCATTTACGGTATCTCTCGGGACAGATCCATCCAACTTTTAGATACAGAGACCGGAAAGGCTATCAAAGTGAGAGAAACGACGCATGAGTATGTGAGAGGACTATTGCAGAACTTGATCAGTAAATGCTGACAATGTTGTATTTGCTTGTAGATCGCCCATCAATTCCCTCTTGGTCATTGACGAAAATATGATGGCTAGTGGAGATGACCAAGGTGTGATCAAGGCAAGTTGTCTACTATTTATGCTTCAAAGCCTCTGCTAAATGATGGCATACATAGATCTGGGACAGCAGAAAAGAAACACCAGTACAAACTTACACAGAACACGAGGATTTCATTGCAGACATGACATTCAACAAACACCATCGCACTTTAGTAGCTGTTGGAGGCGATGGGTACCTATCCACATGGGACATCCGCAAGCCAAATGTAGCTGCCATGTCAGATCAAATGGAGGATGAACTACTCTCGGTCGCACTGGTGAAAAATGGCAAAAAAGCAGTGGTCGGTACACAAGATGGTGTATTGACATTATGGTCCTGGGGAGACTGGGGAGATTACAATGATCGTATCATGGGTCATCCCAACTCAATTGATGCTATCTGTAAATTGGATGAGGATACCATTTGTACGGGCAGCAGTGATGGTATTATTCGGTAAGCTGTGTTCTCTTTGAGAGTGTTGATATGACGTACTCATATCATTCCCATTCTATAGTTTGGTTTCTATTTTGCCTAACCAATTTCATGGTGTTTTGGGAGATCATGGTGAAGATATGCCTATTGAAAATTTGGTATTGAGCCACGACAAAAAGTATCTAGTCTCTAGTGGACATGACGATACATTACAGTTTTGGGATGTAGCTCATTTATTCCAAGAGGAAGAAGAGGCTGCTGCTGCTGCTGAGGAAGAGAATCTGGATGAAAATACCGAGGACAAGGAGGAGGACGAAGGGGAAAAGACAGCACAACCAGAAGCCACACCCAAAGCAGAGGACAACGACGATGATGACGATGGCTGGGGCACTGATTCAGATGATGAAAAGGAAAAGAAGAAGAGAAAAAAGACGCAAAAGAAAATGAAGGCTGAAAAGAAAAAGGACATTAGAACCACGGCATTTTTTGCAGACATGTAGATTAGACAATAAACACCAAGATTCCCCAGTGCATAAATTTTGTAACGTACTAGCCTTACTGTAAGTTAATATGTAATTATGAAAAGGGAGACGATCTCGCATTTTCTATACCAAGACTGTATGTTTACGACCACTTTACATCTCAATTTGCCGTACCTGCTTCATTTAAAACTTACGTTTTCGTGTATACTACTACTAGCTAATCTATCTTGCTATGCTCGATGGAGCAAGCCGCCGTTGCCAAAATTGATTCAAACTCAGCTTCTTTTTCTGTTCAAGATTGGACATATTTCGTCTTTTTTCGACTTCTTTAATCTATTCTATGATATTCGATTATATAAATTGTGATAATCACCCTACGCTTCCTAATACATTCTTGAAGTACTTTTCAAGGCGCTTCCAATGGTGCTAACTGTAATAAGTGTTTTGACTGAAATTATTGAGCAATTTAATAAAATATAAAATGAGGTTTTTAGCGAAAATAGTCATATTTTGCATATGATCATCTCATAAAAGTGGTTTCAGAGGTTGCTTTGGATCGAGCGAAACATTTTGATTCAGTATATACCATAGTAAAAGTCTTCATTTTCAAGTTGAAAAACGCGATCGTTTGATTTTCGATGAAAACCATGAGGGGTACCTCATGCTTTTTGGTCGATTTTTGGCCATGTTTTTTTTGCCCAAAAAGTTGAGCAAAGGTGTCAGGAAGTTACTACTACTCGAGTACAATCGTTTGGCGTTATTCCAGTGGCTCAGAAAGGTCTACATGTCAAGATATGAAGGCTTGAAAACTGTCCAATTTGGTTATGTATTGCTTTATAGCTTTTATTTGCACGGCATGAATCACATCTTTAGTAGCTGAAGTCTTCTGGGAGGGCAGTTCTGCAGCCTGTGCAACTTCTAATTCGAACAAGAGGCATATTGACTTTGGGAAAGCTGATTCATGCGAATTCTGATGCCTTCTGATGTTGGGAAGCTTATTAACAATGGAAATGAAAACCCAATTTACTGCTTGATTACTATGGTCTTGCACGCTTGCTTCGCTGCGATCAAGCCCTCATATAGATCAATGTTACCAAGTGTTGGATTAGACGCCTTATTACCATGGCTTTGCACCTTTGCTTTGCTACGGTAAAAACCCCCCCTATAAATCAATGCTATCAAGTGTTGAATTAGATGCGTTATTTTCTTCCCCAAACCCCTCTCTCCATTGTCGGCTTTGCCAGTGGTTTTATTTACCTTGTACGGCACACAATTCTTTAAAATTTTGAAAGGATATGATTTGTTTGTCTACTTTTTTGAATGTTTTAGCCCCAACCTCATTTGCTTGAAAGCCTATAAAACGCTTCATATTTGCATCGCTCTAGTTCTTTTGTAATTCATCCAATATGCAAACAGACATTAAGGAACTTTTTCCTAAAATTAAGGTGGCTCATTTTGACGTTAACGTCGTGTCAAGGTCAATTTAAATCGCCATGCGCCAGAGTGATATACATAAGGTCTTTTTGTTTTTAAAGTGTCAACACATAGAACATGCTCATAATTTAATAATTGAAATTGGGTAACAAAAAAATGAAGGACGAAAACTATACACAAATAAAGGAAGGATTGATGAAAGGAAAGGAGAAAGGCATGGATATATGAGGGACTATTTAGCAAGCAGGATTGCTAGCTGTCGAGAATAACTCGACTGCATGCAAAAGTATGTATTCGATGGTGGCATTCTTGTAACTGATGTCAAGGAAATCGCGGGATGCATCGCTGTGTCGCATTAGTGTAGGCGCAAATACCATGGCCAGGTTCTTGACAGACATTCTGTTGGCATCCGAATGTTGGTACACTTTAACGAGATGTTGGAAAAGCAGGGCAATGGTGTCGTAATGTGCTTTGGGAAGTTGGTGTAGTATGTTGGAAAAGGCTTCCATTTTCTTTTCGTTATGATCTAATGCTATAAACATGGAGAGCATGAGTTACTGGTTTCAACATCCACATGGCAAACGTCCTAGTACTTACTCGCCACTTGAATAAAGCTATCATAGTGCTCGCAGGTCAACAGAGGGTTAGGGAGGTCTCTGAAATACTGCTTGAGCACACTTGTAATAGCGCAAATGTCATTGTATTCTTCTTCGTCGCTCAGGTTGATAGGCTCGCCATTTTCAAAGGCCAGTTGTATAGCACGGATTTGTGCTGCACCACCTGATTTTCGGTATATACCTTCATAGTCCAAACCACGTGCTTCGACTTCCTTGATGCATTCTTGAACAATGAGTGGTACACTACGGTTTTCAGCATGAACACGTTCTGACAAATCTCCACCAAACATGCTACATTCTAAAAATACAATATTGTGGTTAGTATCTATGCAACCATCCAATATACAGCTCTCTATGGGTACCTGATAGCGATTTCTTGGGTTGCTGAGGCAAGGGCTTGTTTTCGATATCCATGGGCCCACTTGTGTTGTCAAAGGAAGCAGAGGAAGGATAGCCCAAATCAAAGCTGCTGCTTGTTTGAGCTGCTGTGCAATGCTGAGGTACCTTGCTCAGACATTTGGAATGAGACGAGAATCCACATCCATCACAACGGTATTCGCTTCTGCCCCAAATCTTATCACCGCAAGATCCGCATTTCACAGGTCGCAAGAAGGAGGTGGGTTGGAAGGAATGGCTCTCATGACCAGCATGAGACAAGGATGCGCTGGATTCCATGAATGATTTCTTGCTTGATTTGCCCAGACTGTGGCTGTCTTGATAGCTCAAACTCTGTAAACTGCTGCTGTAATTTGGGTTGTTATAAATAGATCTTGATGTGGTTCTAAATATAGAGGAAGAGGAGGAAGTGGAAGCGGTAGGCATTGGTGCTGCTGGTGTATCTAATTTACTTGATTTAGTGGTGCTGGTTGTTGTCGTTGCACCGAGTTTGCCAAACATGGTACTGCCCTTCTTTTTGAGACGAAAAAGCGTAGGTGTTTGATCAGATATGAAGCTCTTTCTGGACGACACATTGAACATGACTGAGCTGGCATTGGATGGCCTGCGTGGACGCTGCTGCTGTTGTATAGTGGAGGGCGGCACGACAGAAGAGGTGTCGGATGACTGTGAGGGTGAGAGGGGCGGTGATGAGTTGGATAGTGGCATGGCACCCAAATGCGTCGATGTGGCTTCTTCTTTCTCAATGGCTCTTCTGGATAAATCGTTGTTCATGGTGGTTAATTCTGCATTCTTAGTGTTGAGTAGAACCATTTCATGTATGATTTCGTCGCGAGATGTTGTCAGGTCCTTTGTCTGAGATTTTAAAGCGTCCCGTTCCTGTGTCAATGATTTGATCTGTGATTTGAGCGATTTCTGATAGCTGGAATGCACACTGCTTATGAATGAGACATGTTAAATCAACGCAAAGTGAACAGCACGGACATGTCTTACCTGCTGGTCATGCTCTCATCAATGGCAGCTGCAATCTTGTCGCGGTAATGGATCAGCTCCTTGCATGTGCGTTCGAGCTCCACTCTCAAATAAGCAAGCTTGTCAATTTCCTTTCTAGACAGCAAACCACCCGACTTCTTCATGAGTGACACAATGGTAAACTCCTGCTGTCTTTTGATATTGGATTCTCGCTCGAAATCGTCCTTGAGCTGCGAAAATTCATTCAAAGCTTGTTGGCTTGCATCCTGCCATCACTGCAATTAAGTAACTCAGAAAGCCCAAGATGGTGGTTTACATACCTGCAACACTTTGTAATTTTCTTCGAGTTCTTTCAGTCTAGATCGAGTTTCCACCAGTTCTTCATTGTGTGTTGCTGTGGTGGGCTCAAAGCTTGATTTACTCAGAGAAGACGTGCGAAGCGAAGACTGCAAAATCTCTGATGCTCGTTTGATGCGATACTGTGGTGTAGATTCCTCGTGCTCTTTGCCAGTGCTACCCAGCGCCAAATTAGCGCCCAGTGTGTTGGATAGATTATCTAATTCGCTCGAATCGTTTTCAAAAAAGGAAAATGTAAAGTCTGGCAAGATGCTTGTGCTGCTGATGCTGCTGCTGCTGATGCTGCTGCTGCTCTCCAGGCTGGTCTTTTGTTTCAGGGAATTGCTGCGAGAACGCACTGGTGTAGGCAGCTTTGGCTGATTGATCATGGATCGCACTTGATCCTGTGGACTGCAGGACAAAGGCTGTTGATGAGAGTGTTGTTGGTAGCCGAGGCTCAGCGATGACTCCGATGTCTTTGTAGTAGCACCTGTAGCAGTAGTAGCCTGCTTACATTAGGTCTCATTAGACATCCAAGATTGAAATGAAGCTTCTCTCGTCTTTACCTTGGCTTTCTTGCTGGATTTCTCAGCCTTTCTAATTTCGTTGCAAGCAGTACAGTAAATGCCCTATTAAAGAAAAGAAACAGAGCGTTAATAAGCCGAGCTATTTGATTTCGAAAAGGTCCCCTTGTTTAATTTTTTTTTTATACATGAAACCTAATACATCTTATTTGTAATGCAGACCTTGGCAGTTTGAGTGAATATCAAATCGTCGATTGTCTTGTCACAGGAAACGCATTTGAAGCAGTTGGAATGATAGGCTTTTTCTCCTATTAGAATGTGAGTGTTTAGGCAATGGCACGCATGGAAACGTGTAGCTATTTACCTGTCATGATGGCTTCATCTCGAATAATTTGATTGCATGCCACACATGTATAGGAGCAGCTGTCGCATACGGGTCTGCCATCATCCAGCAGTAATAGATTTGTCTTGTCATCCACACATTCACCGCATTTAGCACAGATGAAGCTATTGAAAAGTTTAATCCCTGCCTCGTCGGGTAAGGCAATGCTTTTGTTACCATTTGACATGAAATAAGGAATCACCAAATGCAACGACAGCACCTTCTTCAATCAATTTGGAGCAGCCTTGACAATTGGGCGCAATGACTTCGTCGGTTGTCATGTCGAGTCGTATATATAAAAGTTAAGAAAAGAGAGAAAAGGTAAAGAAGAAGCGCAAAAGTGCAAAGACGAGATACTTGTTATAGAAGAAAGGCGGGCTTATTGTATAAAGAGTCTAATTGTGTGTGCAACACTGTAATTAATTGAGGAAAAGGGGTATGTCTTGTGATACCTCGACTATTTAAACATGTAAAAGAACAGACGAAGCATGCCAAATCCAGCTATTAGACATTCATGTAAGATTCAACTTGTTGTTTCTCGGCTGCTTGGTCAGACTGAGCGTCCATCTTATTACTGCTCTACCTGTGTACATACACTGAACATCCCAGATCACCAATAACCCAATTACACCATTTGGGCCTTGGATCTTTCAGCTAACTCTAATGCGAAATGTATCACAGTCTAGTACTACGTCTCTATTGTAGGGGAAAAAAAGCGTTTAGTTCAATGAATCCATGTTGTATGTGCAGTGTTGTGTCAATCATCATCATCCAGACATCCATGCAGCAATCGTCTCTATATAAGCGCAATGCTTCATCATGGCAACTAAGGTGGGTCATGCTTATGTGCCCTACAGTCTATATAAGCTTTTATATAGTATCAGCAAGCAGCAAACGCTTGGCACCAAGACATATGATTTACATTGTATATACAGTAGGGTTCTGATGTTTGATTTAATCTCCATAAGTTTCACTGTAATATTCAAACAATTTATTGCAGTGTAACATGTGAAATGAAAATGCTACTAAAATTAGGCACGAAATGTGCCACTTTTATGCTTTGCCCATTTTGAATGTGATCAAATATATGCCGTGGCTCGTGAGTTGTGTTGGTATTATTAGAATGATTAAAATTTAATAAATCAAAAAGTGTTGCCTGAAGATCTCTCTGTATCGTGCCACTACTACCACATAATAAACCGAGCATCTTCATTTGGAAAATTGTATGCATCTCATATCAAATCAAAGACGCTTTAAAATGCATGAACGTTAAGAGAAGGTGCCACGGAACCAACACAGCGATTAACTTTAAATGGCATAGCAACACTTTATTTTGTGGTATAACTACTTTACCTATTGGCGTAGAAAAAGATCGGTTTGGAATTAATTAAATAAATGTAATTGCAAGCATATCTCAATTTCCCTGTATAACACGGATGGTTATAATACTAATGCACTGCCTATAGCACCACCCACATTTCTACCGGCTTCAGCAGCCGCTCTTTCAGTGTCTTGTCTTGATCCGTGAGTCTGAGGATTGGCAACACCATTTACGGTACTCTTTACACCAACAATCACACCATCAATGCCCATGCCAAATCCACGAAGCAGGCTATCATCTCTCTTGGCAATTGCTTCAGTGTCTGCAACAGGAGCTGCTAGTGCTGATTGCATCATGATGCTGCTGACCACAGCCATCACTGCAATGGAAATGATTGAACGCATTTTGATCTGGATGTATATTAACAGTGAAAAGAAATGATAAAAAAAAAGCGGCCAAATATCAGAAAATATGCTTTCTAAATGCAAAACGAAAGCTCCTACAGGCATTCATTCTTTTGATTCGACATTATAGTATGCATATTCTTTTAAACTATGCCCTTACCCCCTTGCACATCAGGCATGACACGTAAAGACAACTTTTTATGCATGGATCAAGTATGTGCAATGATTCGCCTTCTTTACATCTAGCAAATGATAGACAATTAGATTTACTCTCTGTGCAACTTTGTACAAGTGCACCAATGGAAGCATCGCTGCTGTATTCAGGCTTGAATACAATAGTGATTTATTAGAGAAATTGGGACAAATACACTTTTTTTTACATTTGATGCCTGAAATTAAAGAATGCCCTTCAATGTGCTTCCGACAGAATCACCAATGTTGGATCCAGCAACATAACCACCCTTCTGGCCTTGAGCTTTGCTACCAATGGATTGAGGTTTAGCTACACCCTTTAAAAGACCCTTGACTTCAGCAGTAACCGTGCCAACAGTGACATCCAATGTGTTGCCTAAACCTGCTTTACCAGCAGCAGCGGCTGGAAGAGCAACACTGGTGTGCATAATACTGGCAATCGACATTAAACTAGCAGCAATATAGAGTGAAACTGATTGACGCATCTACATACAAGTTTACATGCGTAAATAAACGTGTTGCGTCGCATGAAAGATACTTACATTGTATGATTAAAGACGAAATGTAGATTGATGTTATTCTTTTAGCAGGTTCAAGTGGATCTCTTTATATACATTTTGAGAAACAAATCTTCCTGTATAGATGAAATTTCGTTTGTTTATGACTGAGCTATATGACCAGAGCGTCTATGGAGACATTGCAGTATGCTATCTGGAGCTGTACTCATAAAATATATGCGGTTCAAGTGTAGATTCACTAGTGCAACAGCGCATCACGTTTGAATGAGTCATTTTACATGGCATATCTATGTGGCAGTGGCACGATATAGATGCGTTTCCTGTCTCTGTCTATCAAAATGATATCAATCAACTGCAGTTCCTTCTTCGATACACTAGGATTCACAGAAATTCGAATCATGTGCTGGATTTAGTTGCATTCAGGGACGTTATTCATGCAAAAAGTAAATTTTAATCAGAAAACGATTCTGCAATGTACATCAAGTGTACCTACTTTGATCTACTTTGTATCAAATGTGGTAAAGTGAGGCAGCTGGGGGGGGGGGGTACACACTACTTTGTGCGCAAATTTCATAGATAGCTCATCAGCATGGCATGTATATGGAAAGCACCTGAAGTGGTAGTTTTCGCTTCGGTTAAATTACAATGACCTATAAGCTGGAAATCCATTTATTCGTCTCCCTCTTGCAGAACATATCTCATTTACAAACATGACGACAGCAATCTATTCACAAGTACTGATTTTTACTGCTAACGGTAGTATAAGCGCTGTCATTTTAGTCAGTGAATAACGAATATGCCTGTACTCCTTTTAGGTTTTTGTTGCAGAAAGTGTTTACTATAATGTATTGCTCACATCATTCTTAATGCTGAAACTGGCGTTACCTCTAATAGTTGCCTCATTACAGTGGTCTGGTTCAAGGATCCAAGACATTATTATGCGAACACACTCAACCAGAATCGAGAGGTTTTACAATTGATTTTCGTGCCCTAGAGATAATGAAACTTTTAGATGAATCGTCGATCAAAATCCCCCCATGTTTCTGATAAACAGAAAGGAAAAAAAAAACAGAATAAAGGCCAGTATGTCCACCATTCTTTCAGCTTTTTGCTCATTTCTAACTATTCATGACCATCAATAGAGATAGACCTCCACAATATTCATCATCTCCACCACCTTCGTACAGCTGTACAGTGTATAAACAAGGATTTGTAAGACTGAAGAAAGAAACTAGCATTGGAGGCGCAGTGGAAATCAATCGTTCATGGAGGTAAAGTTATTCCAATTCTTGAAAGATACAACAAGTTTAATCTCTTCCATGACTTGCAGAACTGTCTACTTTTGCCTCAGAGGCACGATCCTGCACGTCTACAAGAAGGAAAACAGCAAATACCCCATTGATTCCATCTCTATGCTGAAGGGTAGCTGTGGCATTGCTACAGATTACAAAAAAGACAATGTACTACGGCTTCGACTAGGGACAACTAAAGAGCAGTACTTGATTTCGCCTTTAGGTCATCTGCCAGAGACGATCTCTTGGTTTGAACATTTGCAATCATCTGCTAATATCAGCACTGACATTGATAAGAGACACATGCCCAAGATTTTGACGTTATCTCGAGGCAATGGCCAACTGCAAGACCATGTAAATCATACTAGAACCATCACACTGACTGTAGGAAAAACTCAAGCTGTGATTCCAGTATTACATTGTCAGCTTAGGCATACTTTGTGATGCCTAAACTTGAAATAAATCATAATTCATCTGATATGGAGTGCTTTGCGGAATGCATAGGATTCAAATGACATGCGACATCTATGTGAAAAGACGGTTGCTAGGCAACCAGTGCCATGTTGCTAGGCAACAACAACGATGAGTTGGCTCAAATGATGTATCCACATGTAAATGACATTTCTTGATGCATGTACCACATCATATCCTGACTTTCAACATTGGGAAGCATCCTTCTCTGTGACTTATTAAGGTATTGTTGAAGCAGTACGTGTTCCATCTTTGGGTGGTCCCCCTCCCCCTTTCTTGGAAATCAATCTAGCAGTTTCCAAACTCAAAAGCAAATTTTTTCCAGTTCAACCAAATTTCTTTTTAGCTCCTCCCCCTCTTTCTAATAGTATAATAATATAAAAATGGCACAAGTAGCAAAACCAACAACCGGTGGTGGTGTAAATGGCGGAAAATTTCAAGATAAAGACAAGCCCATGGAGGTGCGTATGTCAAATATTACTGCTGCAAAAGGTAATAGAGACACACACATTTGCACACACGTCAAATGCATTCGTGTGATTTCGCGTTCAATTGTTTCTAAATCGTTTCATGTATAGCTGTTGGAGACGCGATCCGTACTTCCTTGGGCCCCAGAGGCATGGATAAGATGGTAGATGCGATATTGATCATGCGTGATAGACTATATTGTCTAACAGGATTTGACATTGTAGATTCAAACTGGCAGCGGCGAAGTTGTCATCACCAATGACGGTGCTACTATCCTTAAACACATGGCTGTTCTCCACCCTGCAGCCAAGATGGTAATCATCATCACTACGAGAAAGACTAGGCCGAGAATTAATCCTGTTTGTTTGGTAGCTTGTCGATCTATCTGCTGCACAAGATGTGGAAGCTGGTGATGGTACTACATCTGTCGTCGTGTTATGTAGTTCCTTATTGTCAGCTGCTGAAAAGATGTTGAACAAGGGCATTCATCCCACTACTATTGCCGAATCTTTCCAAAGAGCAGCAACCAAATCAGTTGAATTTTTGACCGAGATGGCCACTCCTGTTGATTTGAGTGATCGCGAATCTCTCTTGAGAGCTGCCTCCACCTCTCTCAACTCAAAGATTGTATCTCAATATTCCACTTTACTGGCTCCCATCGCTGTCGATGCTGTCGTTCGCGTCATTGATCCTGCTATCGCCAACAACGTCAACTTGAATGATATTCGTGTTGTAAAGAAGGTGGGTGGTACTATTGACGATACCGAATTGGTCGATGGACTTGTGTTGAATCAAACTGTCGTTCGTACTGCTGGTGGTCCCAACCGCATGGAGAAGGCCAAGATTGGTCTCATTCAATTCCAACTCTCTCCTCCCAAGCCTGACATGGAAAATCAAATTGTGGTGAACGACTATAGACAAATGGATAAGATTCTCAAGGAAGAGCGTCAATACCTCTTGAACATGTGCAAAAAGATCAAAAAGTCAGGTTGTAACGTTCTTTTGATCCAAAAGTCCATCTTGCGTGATGCCGTCAATGACTTGGCCCTCCACTTTTTGTCCAAGTTGAAGATTATGGTTGTAAAGGATATTGAACGTGATGAAGTCGAGTTTATCGCCAAGTCTCTTGGTTGTAAGCCTGTTGCAGATGTCGAATCTTTCACTGACGATAAACTCGGTTATGCTGATTTGATTGAAGAATCAGAGAATGCTGGTGCTCGCATTGTCAAGGTTACTGGTATGAAGCATGCTGGTAAGACTGTGTCTGTCATCTGTCGTGGTGCCAACTCCCTTGTTCTCGAAGAATCTCATCGTTCTCTTCACGATGCTCTCTGTGTCGTTCGCTGTTTGGTCAAGAAGAAGTTTTTGATTGCTGGTGGTGGTGCCCCTGAAATCGAGATTTCTCAAAAATTGATGGATTATGCAAAGACTTTGACTGGTATGGAGCAATACTGTTTCCAGGCATTTGCTGAAGCCCTTGAAGTCATCCCCACTACCTTGGCTGAGAACGCTGGTTTGAACCCAATTGCCATTGTCACTGAATTAAGAAACAAGCATGCTCTCGGTGAAAAGACTGCTGGTATCAACGTCAAGAAGGGCACTATTACAAATATCTTGGATGAGAATGTCATTCAACCTCTATTAGTCACCTCCAGTGCTCTTGAATTGTCTGCTGAAACCGTCAAAATGATCATGAAGATTGATGATTTGGTCCAAAGTCGATAAATGCATCCCAATGGTATAGATAACAAAAAAAAATAGCCAACTACGTATTATTCTCTCCTCACAAACACACAACACAACACACACACAGCACACACATATCTGCCACCCTTTTTCTATCTTGATTTCTTTTTCTATATATACACACTCACAACTTTCATATCAAAAATCGAAATAATAAAAAGAAGGATTTGTGAAAGTATGTATCTCTTTATCAGAATAGTAGGTCGTCAAAGGGGGACGAAGCTTTAGCGGGTGGTGCTGCAGGCTTGGTTGGGTTGTTGCTGGCCCAGTTATTCCAGTCTGCTTGAACGCTGGTATTCTTTAATGCGTTCATGGAGGGTCCAGTGCTTTGTGTAGTGTTGTTGCTCTTTTTGCCCAGAGAATCCAATGAAACAAAGTTGGATGCTTGTGCCCACATGCCCGTGGGTGTGCTTGCTTCGACCTTCTTTTCCTCTTGTTTGGGTGGTTGCTGTTGTTGTTGTTGCTGCTGCTGATGCTGTTGTGAAGATGGAACCATGGGCTGTTTGGTTTCAAACATGTGTAGTGATTGCTGTTGTGGATGAGCCGCTGAAGGTGTCACTGGTGTGGTACTGGCATCATCTCCCAACAAATCAAACAAATCTTGCTGCTGTGATTTCTTTGGTGCTGCTGTTTGAACAGGTTCATCAGCAACAGCGTGCTGGAAATCAGCAAAATCGTCGTCCAGGATGCTGTTGTTACCGCCTGGCTTTGTTTCCTGAGTAGATGCAGTAGGCTCTCCCCAGGTAAAGTCTCCCCAGTCATCGTCGTTGGATTGCTTTGTATCAAAATCGTCGGTAGTAGTGGCCCTCTTGGAGGATGCAGAGGCATCTTCGTTACTGTCACTGCGATAGCCACCTTGATCTTCATCGTCTTCGTCATAACGGCCACTTTGATGAGGATAAGGAGTTTCCTCGCCAAAACTCAAAGCATCACCATTAAAACTAATGCCTCCACCACCAGAGTAAGAATCGCTGCCAAAACCTACATACTTTGATCCACCACCATAGCCTGCGCTACCTAAACCCATGGATCGCATGCCACCAGAAGAGTCAGAACCTACACCTGTGTACTTGTTTCGGTTCTTCTTGGCCAATTTACGTTCGGATCTGATCTTGTCCGTGTTGCCTAATAATTCAACAATTTCCTTTGCTCGGTTTCGGACTAGAAAAACAAGTTAATGGCTTGCTCATTTAGTTACAGCAACTTTGATTTCTTACCATTCAATCCTTCATCTTTGCCCTTATCATCAATATAGTAAAAGTTGCGCATCACCTTGATCATCGATACATGGGAACGGGCATCATCGACTACACGTTCAGAGCCGTTTTTTATGAGGTATTCAAGCAAGACTAATGCCTGAGATTTGTAAATGTGCATGTGTGTGAGTGCGAATTCTGGCAGTAAATATTGCATCTCTGCAGTACCTTGTATATTTGACGCCATTGCTTAGATTCTTTCTCGGTGAATCGTCTGTAGACAGTGGGCATAATCTCGTTAAAGTATTGGCTGTGCAAACGTAGATTAGAATGGCATACTTGTTTGACGTCTTGAGATATTGAATATACATACTAGTTGTAAGTACCTTGAGCAATTTCTTGCATAAGGGTACTGGAAGCTCCCCACGGCTCGTTGTTGGTAGCTTCGTGCACTTTGGCCTCCATCTCTGTGTAGTTCAGCACGACGCTCTTTCTGTACGCTATCATTAGCTGCCTTTTTTTCCCGGAAATGCCATCAGTAATACTTACAATTTGTTGACCACGTCCTAAAGCGATTCAGCATCATCAATACGACGACCTCTTGCAACGTCAGTGGTGCACTTACTTTGACTTCCCAAGCATCGGGAATTTGGAAATTGGATAGAGAATTCATGCGGTTATCAAGTTCTTCACAAAAGAAACAGCTTTGTTTCCACAGCAATAAAAGAATGGAATAAATAGAAAAAAGACGAAGCTTTGATGCGGGTTGCAAAATCACTGCATTTATTGTTCCATTTTCGTCCTGCTCATTACTTTATGACATCAGCGAATCAAATCCAAGCTGAATCAATGATTGTGGAAGCCATCAATGCAACTCTTTGGTAATAACATCAAGACTTCAACTCTTTTATTCATGTTCTAATCAAAGCCGTTTCTTCAAAATCGCAAATTGAGTGTCTACCATCAATCTTTCAGGCCAATGATAAGGGATGCGTTCTCCAGAGTCAGTGAACCCATGCTTGGCATAGAAAGCCAGCACCTCTGGCCTATTCTCCAACACTTTCAAGTAAGCTGTGTGATGCCCAAGACGCTTTACCTCATCCATAGAGTGCAGTAAGAGCTTGGCACCAATGCCTCGAGATTGATGGCTGACACTGACACAATACAGAGCAATTTCAGCCTCTCCAGCATCCACTAATGATGGTTGCAATACTGCTGTGCCTACCACTTGATCCTCTTCAAATGCAAACAGTAGTGTGTTGGGGTTACCAGAGTTGATGATGAGTTTCTCTACATCTTGTACAGACACACGAGGCTCTCTCACTAGATCCTTCTCGGATGTCCAACCGCCTACCACATGTTCATATCGTATCAACTCATGTCAGGCCCAATACCAAGTCTAAATACAAACCTGCTGAACGATAGGCGTTATTGATGACATTGCATCCCTGCTCAGCATACCTAGTTTCATTGGGAGCAATTGTGCGAATAAAAACAGCAGATTGGACCATTGTAATAGATTTGTGTAGTATACAACGAGAAGAACCAGGATGTCAAAGCCCCTTTATATAGTTTATCAATAAATCTTCTGTATGATGCATGTTTGCAATCTGTGACTCATAGTAAAAGGGCTTTGCTATCCAAAGTATATGGAATGGTGAAAGAAAAAAAAAGGCATTTTGAGAATGTATAAAGCTTGATCTTCCAATCATTACTCAGCATCTCTATGCTGATCCAGATCAATATGCAGATGTTGCTTATTAATTGACACGTCTGCTGACAGGGTCACTTTTGACCGATCTTACGGCTTTACGCAAAAGTCAGGGCAATTGTTTGTACACTTTATTCTGTATTTACTGCGGCAGTTATAGATTTCTGATGATACAGTTGGAATTGCTGAATGACAAGCACAGAAAAACTTGCATGTACTATGATGCCTTGTCATTGAGTGTACTAGCTGGAGATGGATCAGTATTCGCCTCATGTGCATCTTTGCTTGAGAATCCTGGTCCGTATATTATCATCAACTATTTACAAATGAAGCTTAAATAGTTTCACACGCGTTCTCCCAGGATCATTGCGTGTCTGTCTTGATCAAGTCAGTTGAAACATTCTAGTTGAATGAATAAGAGCGCTGACGAGCATTTTCTGAATCAGGACAGCACAGCCATTACTATACCTTGGAAAAAAAGCATCGCATCATTTTGCACTTGTATGAGCATTGACACTGTCCGTAATTGGAAGACAATATGCTCAATTAATGTGTCGAGTTAGCATGTACTAGTACCAGCAGTATCTCGCTGTGCAGGATTTTGCAATCCCAACGTTCTGAACGCACTTGATAGTATACGTTAGCCGTTGAGCAACTATTTAACTTGAAATGGTTGTTTAAACCGAATTTTGCACCTTTAAAATACTCATTTGATTAACAGGAAAGAAGGATTTACGCTCGAAACATCATTTGGAAACTTTAATTTTACTGTTCGCATTGGGCTTCGCATTTAGGCGGGAAATACGTATTATCTCGGTCTATCATATATATAACAATATCTAATAAAAGCAGCAAAGGCGAAGCAATAGTAGCATATAAAGCTCGCAATCCCTTTTTATGAGCTTCCAACAGCATCGATCAGCATGAAGGTAAGCATGCCATTGAATTTGCCAGCCAAAAATGATTTAATCTCCGGTCAATTTTTTCCTGCTCGAAATGGGAATTTCTGATCCAATTTCGACTTCTTTGAGCTATTTTGCAAGATTTGACTATATGAAATGTGATGATTCCTTCAGACTTCCTTAATGTCAGGGTTGAAGGGTATTCTGACAGTGATTTAGATCTGCAGGATATCATTGACAGACTAAACACAAACAAGAATAAGAAGCGCAGGTTTAAACCTAGAGCGCCAGCTACCAGGAACATTAAACAGCGATTAACCTGGATAGCGCACAACATTACACAAACTATATTGGATAAAATCAATGTTCAAATCTAATATTAATAAAGCACCTTTTTATCCATTCAACTAAAAGGCTATATACATTCCTGCATAATCCCTACATCTATATCTATATCTATCTCGATCAGATCTCAGATTGCATATACTATCTCTACGTATTCGCATCTGACATTAAGCTCCCTGGTGGTAGGGCGAAGTGGTAAAACTCCCGTATGCCAACGGGAGGATCCCGGTTCAAATCCTGGTGAACGCAAGTTGTCTGAATTTTTGACGTAGTACTGATGTCCTCGTTTGGTGTTTTTTGTACTCTATCCATTATCTATATTTTGACGATTTCCGCAAGACTGTATTGGCTCTAGGTGTCGCACCTTATTAGTAGTAGATTTCTTTCCCAACTTAGTTCAAAAAATTTCTTATTCCCCTTCTTTGCAGACATTGGGTCCACCAACAGTCTTTTCTATCCCTCAGTATGACATTTAAAGGACTTTAAATAAAACCTGGAGCTCGACTCCCCTACAAAAAAAAAAAAAAAAAAAAAAAAAAGACTTCCTTAAGCTTTCTTGGAGTACTTTTCAAGACGCATCGAATAGTGTTAATTAAAACAAGTGTTTTGAATAAGCTTAATGTGTAAATTTATAAGATATGAAATAGCTATTTTGGCCAAAATGTCGAGATTTTCTATATAAAAATCTCATAAACAAAGTTCCAGGGATGGCATTGGATCCATAACATCCTTTTGATCTAATAGATGCTATAGTGAAAGTCTTCATTTTTGAAGTCAAAAACGCGATCGTTTGATTTTCGATGAAAATCATGAGGTATCACTCATGATTTTTTGGTCGATTTTGACGATCCCAAAAAAAAGTTGAGCAAAGGTGCCAGAAAGTAAGTGCTAGATAAAAGCAATTGTTTGGTGTTATGCTCGAGGACCAAAACGACTTTCAACACTAGAAATTAAGGCTCAAATGCATCCAAATTACGCTGTGCTTTACCTATTTTTGAGTGTTAAAAGGCATTACAGGTATGCTGTCTGCCCGTATACGAACTGTTCTCATAGATAGCCTAGAAAAGTCAGATCGAGAGTTGCAGACCGTTTACAGACACTTTGCGTAAAGATAGAGAGTCAAAAAGTGAGATATTAGCATATATCAGTAGTATTATCGTGAGATTGTCATTGTTCAGGGCCTGGAAGCCGTGCAATGTTGAATCAGTAGCAAAATTGGATTACCAGTGCTACAAATAAACTGACATGTCAAGGTCTACCATTTAGGGTTTAAATCAGCTTTAAAATTTACCTGCCACACATGCAAACTCTCTGTTTAGACTCTTGTAAAGCCAAATGCTTTCTAGTTTAAATTACTTGTCGACCTATAACAGGACATTCAAATTGCGGGCACCTCTTTGGATAATGACAACGACACATAGCGTATAGCGCTTTCTCTAGACTCAAACTACCTCAATTTGACACTAATTCATGATGTACATTTAGCACCATTTATTCACTCTCCACCAGAGCAATGCTGTTGATCTCTCTTATGGACTCATTAGTGTAACGTAGCATTGAATACATTATATTGTATCCATGAGACAAGTAAGGCAGCAGTAGTAGACATGATGGGACGGGCAGATATCAGTAGCCAACGATAGTTTCATCATCTCATCTGTTCATTTTTGAGAATAGAATAAATGACGCTATTTTGTTTACAATTTACCAAGCATCATTAAAAATAGATCTATTTTGGTCCTACCACCATAGTGCCTGGGATTCACATTTTGTCGTTTGAAACGCAAATGCGTCAGGTACTTTGCATCCGTTTTCAAGCCCTGATTTTTACTATACCAATCGAATAAAAGCCCACAACCACTCTGACCTATGGATACGACATATCGATGCGTGTCTACTGAACAACCTTGTTCTACACTGGGCTTCAATGTCTAAAATTGGACCGACCAAAAGACGAAATGACTACCTTTCTTTAGTTTCGTTTTACACATCTAGACCAATAAAACCTTCTCCTTTTTCCTTCCATCTTCTCTTTCTCTCTTTCCCTCATCTCGTTTTCAGTTTCGAGAATTGTAAAAATATGAAGCACCTCGCTACCAACAAACGTATATTACTACCAGCCATCATACTATTCACTCTCGTGTCTTTGTTTTTTATTTACAACCTGTCAACCGCTAGCAGAGATGCCACCACCAATGCTCCAGCAGTAATCAGAAAAAAGGCAAACATCATTGAAGATACCGCATTAGTGGATCAGATTCAATTAACAAGACAAGAGTGGGAAGCTTGCCTGGATCCAGGAAATACACCTTCAGAATATCTCTCGATTGTTATTGTCACCAGAGTCGATAATTATGCTGGGTAATTAAGACAGTGTACGGATTCTCGGTAAAAGCAGTAAGCTGACCCTTTTAATGTGTAGCGGGCAACATCATCGTCTTCAGAATTTCATTGACTCTGCTTATATCTTGGCCGAAAAGACACAAGAAAAGATTGAATTATTGATTGTGGAATGGAATCCACCTGCCAACCATAGAAGAGTGATTGACGCTTTTGTAAGGATAGGGTGGTTATAGCGAGAGGAGAGCGGGAAAAACTCACATTTGCTGTGTTGTAGAGATTTAGAGGATCAAAGTACCTGAAATATAGAATTATCACTATACCCAACTCGCTTCACGAAATCATTCAAAACCGGGGCAAATCACCTTTACATGAATTTGAAGGTAAAAATGTTGGCATTCGATTTGCCAGAGGTGAATTTGTTGTCTGCACCAACCAAGATGATATTTGGTCCCATAATTTCCACAATGCCATTAAATCACGAGTATTCCAAAAGGGTGTTATTTATGTACAACACCAAGATCACCACAACATTCACGACAATTTGCCACCCTCTATTGTCAACTTGGAGCCATTTCCTAGCGACGATGTGATTTACAACAGCTGTAAATTGGGTGAGCAGGACTGGGGAAACTATACATTGCCTCCTCCCATCACAGTGACCAGCAGAAACAACCCTGATATCAAGGACAGAACCACCACCATGAATATTCTCGAAGTGGCAGATCAAGCTGGTGATTTTACTATGGCTCACAGAGACACATGGAAAGTTCCTAGAGGGTATAGAGAAGCAGGAGGTGTTGCATGGTAAAGATGATCTTCTATGTGATAGACGCACACGGATGCTGACTACCCCTTGATAGGATGGATATTGAATTTATTTGCACTGCTGCTTGGACCAAGAAAATCCCAGTTGTGTATGTCAAGCCTGGTTTTACTTGCCATCAAGAGCATGCTAATATTTGGGAGAGCAACAAGGAAGCCATGAATGATAATAAGGATATTGACATGAGCAAGATTGAACGTGGAGAGAGCGTGTATATGAACAAGGAAAATGAATGGGCCCTGTTAAGCTACAACATTTATGAAGAGGGTCTAAGTTGCATGGAATTTCAAGGTGGACTTGCTTGGTAAATGCACCCAACATCAAAAAGGAGACCATTTATAACTATTACACATTTACACCATTACATATTTGTTTCTATTATTTTGCACTATTCTACTCTTTCTTCGCACTGTATTAACCAAAAAAAAAATTGTAATTAAACATCCATTGAATCAATGTATGCACTACTAATACCTAGCTTGTTGATGTGAAATGTGTTCCCCAGTCGATGTGTATGGCAAGTAATCACTGTTGTGATACAATCCCATCTGGCACCATTCCCTTCACCTACAATTATGGTTGTACTTTAACTCCTCATTCTTTCTCTTTCTGGATTAATGCGGTAAGATGTCTCATTTTCGTCACTTGTTTATATCCACATTGTCATCCTGAGAGTTGATATTCCAAAACTCTATTTATCTCTGACACATGCTTGCATGGGTCTTTATTTGTAATAAATCGTACCTTGTGGCTGGATGCACAAGCAATCACAGTTCATCGCGCCTAGCTGTCTTCTTTATGGATATTGCAAACTGAAGAAGCGTTGTGCGTTTAAAGGATAGTTTGAAGCTGCAAAAAAAGTGATTGCCCAGCAATGAAAACGACTCAGAAGATGCCGCTTTAAATCCGAGTTTACATTATGGCTTGATCCAAACTAAATCGAAGTAAGCTTTCATCATAAACGCAGAGAGAACATATGAGCAACAAGTGATGTCCATAGAAAACATAGAGTTGTTACTTTTATACAATGCCGTGGTTCGCTTTTTTTTTGGGCTTAGCAACCTCATTCACCTCATCTGGACGTGCTGCCCAAAAAAAAACTGTCATGTTATGTCGTTCCCTTGATCATATTACTATACGGCCTGCTTTGTGTAATGGTCAGCCTGTCAGGTATATAACGTATCATTCATATAACATACGCAGATAGCTATCATAGGAATATACAGTTTCAAAGGATTACAGAATGTCCTGGGATACTTTTCTTTCTGTCGCTGCCAACCAACACAACAAGAACAACCTTTTCAATAGCCATGGAGTAATTTGTCAAATAAAAGCTGTAGATGAATCATGAATGTATAGTACAATTATTGTTGTAATGGCTACAGACAGATACAATAATGCATTTTATAAATAAAGTACATAATCAAGCATGCCTTACTTTAAACGAGGTCAAATTGCTAATATGTATACATTGTTCACACCTACAAAGCATACGAGCTTTATATTTAGAGTTTGTATACAAACATGCCGAGTCTTGAGTATAGCATTATAAACATAGGCCTATGAATGTCATATGTTGTGATTTGGTTGACCTTGAAATCTTCATCATTGTAAGGAGGTCTCTGTCAATCAACATACTGAAAAAACCAAAGCTGTGTGCGTATTTTAAGCACATTGTTTGATTGAAACGTTCTTTGAGATGATATGCTTGCAACAAGTTGCCATGATAAGTGAATTTGAGAGTGGTTGTGTACCACCGTAGCTACTCCAACAAAATTGGTAGAGTGTGGCCTAAGGCGTACATTGCAATACTACCTGCATATGCTACCACGTATGCAAAATGACAGGTAAGATACAAGTCTTGATAGTTGCATTGTACTTCTTCATGGAGCTCAATTTGTCCTCCTTTGCAATTGAAACTGTTTATAGGTTGTTTGGATAGTATTGGCTTTTTCCCAAGTGGAAGATCACATTGACGGCATTTATATCATACGATTAAATTTTGAGTGAATGAAAACCTCGTGGAGTGTGATTTTTCACAAGGCTGTAGCAGGCACCAACCGAATGCAAGCCATTGAATGCCTGCAGACAATAAGACTTTCGGTCATCCAAAGGCAACCAAACTATGCTCGCTGGATGGAACAAGAAGAACAAACAGGCCAATTCAGAACAGTCAATGAGAAAGCATACACTAGTCCTAACCAAATTAATGATGGGAATTAGCCTTATCTCTTTTCGCTGAGACGTAAGCCTTTGAACCCGATTGCGAGTACACAGGCGAACACCAAGAAGAAGCGTGTTCGTGGGATAACATGAACTTGGTGTAGTAGGTGAAATGGCATTGGTTACCAAACATGACAAGTAACCTATTACAAACTAATCATTCACATAGTTTCTGAATACATTGTTCTTCTAGCCGTCTTCTCACACACATTTGTCCAATTTTAAGAAAAAAAAAAACCTGGGGTAAATACGAGGAACCATACAAAAGGAGAGAAGAGATCTAATCATCACCACACAGCGACGGAGGACCTGTGCTACGCCAGTAAAAAGCTTCTTGAATGTGGGGTAAATGGGAAGATAAAGTTTATTGGTGTGATACAAGAGCAGCATTTCTCGCTCCCCGCCTGTCATACACTCGGATTAATTCATCACTGTGACAAAGCGAGAGGAATCCATGGAATCGCAATTTGTACATGCATTTTCTCACCCAGTCATCGTATGCCTGAAGTTCATAAAGCTTAGGTAAGAGGAACTAGAGATTTCTCTCATCTGACTGACATTAGATGTGATACCTCAATCCCAAATCTGTAGTTCCATGGAAAATTGGTTTCAAATGCTGGTGTGGTTTTTCACATACAAATTGTTCAAATGTGGAAGTTACTCCATTGTGTTGATCATAGATAAGAAACATCATCCCACATGGATTGAAATGCTGTGGAAGAAGAAAAAGTCCACATTTCGCCTGGAACAAAATCTAGACGACAAATATACACTAACCAAGTTATACCTTTGCTCGTAGATAGTGAGCCGAGAAGGATCGTCTCGAGTGTTACAGCAAGTAATCGCACCGAGAGGATATTCTGAAGTAACACCAACGTGTGTGCTGTGTATTTCGTCCAACGACGCAAGAGCTGCTCTCCTTCTCTGACTAACTCACACAGCTCTTTATCTTTCAAAAAGCCCTTTTTACCACAGAAGGGAATGCTACCGCGGTTAGAAAACGTAAATCGACCATGTTTTTTTCTTTTTTGACACATTGGCAATCTACGATTGACTTTCCATCTACCGTCAGATTCAACATGGCCTGCCTTCACTTTTGCTCTTTTTCTCCTCACAACGCTGGATTTTCCCAAGGATTCAGCATCACAATACAAATCAAGGCGGATTCACACGCAACTTGACTGGTTGCCGTGCTTTGAAGTGTTTATAATGGAATCATTGGAGGGACAGATGCTTACTGAATTGGTCGGGAGAAGAACCAGATTTAGAAGTGCCTCCGACCAAACTTTGTTTGCTTTTGTGAAAAGTAAACTAGTTTTTTTGCCATCGTACGCGTTCTGCTGCTGGCTTGTTTCTTGTGTAATTCCTGCGCAATTTAGCACATCAAACTATAAGTTGTCAATTAATAGGACCAAGAGAAAACTTGTTTCCCTATTGTTTATGGTTTATTAAAATGCCAAATGCAGCATTTCAAGGAGCAGAGAAAATGAGGTTTCATGATTTTTCCCACCTAATAAAATAGCAAATTTAGAGTTGTACCATCATGATGAATCTCTCTTTTCTTTCAGTATCCAAAAAAGGAGGCAGCGAGAGAGAGAGAGAGAGAGAGAGAGGCAAAGGAGGAGGTTGATTTGAGGAGAGAGAGAGAGAGAACACAGATGATAAACACAAACAATCCCCCCCCACACACACAGCCCAACCCCCAATAAAAGAAAAAAAACAAATTCGGCTTCTAATGTATGCAATCAAACATGGTTTTCCTTTTTTTTTCAAAATATATAAATACCCCCCCCCCCTCTTCCACATCCAAATTTCCATTCCCCACAATTCCTTGGTCTTTTTCTCTTTCTCTCTTCTTCTATTTTGATAGAAAAGCTTAATCGAATCAACCACACATTTACATCAGATCAACCAATTAAATTCTACAATGTCTGCTGAACAACAAGATGTCGAATCCAAGTACCAAGTTACTCACTCTACCTCTCCCGCTCCTCCAGTAGTAGCTGCTCCTACTATCGCTAATCCAGGTCCTTTGGGTCTCTGTGGTTTTGCCTTGACTACTTTTGTCTTGTCACTTCACAATGCTGGTGCTGGTGTGTCTCCCACCGGCCCTCATGGTGTCGTTACTGGTCTTGCTTTCTTTTATGGCGGTCTTGTTCAGGTAAATTCTATATTGAAAGGAACTCTCAATCACTATTTGTTTATTAACAAGCACCGTCTATTCATAGCTCTTGGCTGGTATGTGGGAATTCAAGACAGGTAACACATTTGGCGCAACCGCATTTTCCAGTTATGGTGGTTTTTGGTTGTCCTTTGGTATGATCTTCATTCCTGGAGCCAACATCACAGGTAGTTATGGCACTGACAAGGCTCTTATGGAGAAGTCTATTGGTTATTATCTTTTGGGCTGGACCATCTTCACTGGTATCATGCTGATCGCCTCTCATCGTTCAAACTTTGGCCTCATCTCTCTGTTCTTCTTCTTGTTCATCACATTCATCATGTTGACTGCTGGTAAATTGAACGAGTCTACTCCCTGTACCGTTGCTGGTGGTGCCCTTGGTGTTGTCACTGCCTTCATCGCTTGGTACAATGCCTTATCAGGTTTATTGACCAAGCAATCATCTTATTTCACCTTGCCTATTGGTCGTATCAACTAAGTTTTGAAATAATACCCAATGTCTCTCACCATTTCTCTTATCCATTCATACCACTTTTCTCTCTCGTTCTATTTAATACTAATTTCTCTACTATTTTAACTATTTTCAATCCATATCTAATAAACAAAATGTTGGATCCTCTCTAGTCTTATGTAAAAATGCTCATATATCCCTAAAATAAACTGTGCAGATATGCAATGCTAACCATCCTACCATTTATCAAGAGGGACATGTTTGAGCAGACATGAGCTTGGGGTAGATGCGCCATAGGATACTCCTTTCTGTCTATATACATACATTTAAGCTTGTCTCCTTTCAAATATTTACAATTTTCACATAACACAAATATAAATTTGTTTGTATAGGTTAGTAGAACACACGCATTCTTGTGATTATTGCCCGTCTATTTCCAACTTGCTGTTCAACATGGGAAGCAGGGTGTGCTACATGATAATTAGTTCTCGCAGCAAGGAATCGTCTAGTTATATCCAGTTCTCTCCTATGCATATTTGGCCATTGAAGACTCTGTTAAATATAACTGATCTTCCTTTGCTTGACATCTCCTTGTGCTATCGACTTTACAGCCCTGTCTCCCCCCCCCCAAAAAAAAATGGCCCAGATTTACCTAAATTACACAGATCAATCTTTAGAATAGATATGGCATCTCTTCCAGTGTAACAGGGTTTTTATTTTCGGATTGTATAACTCTAATGTGTGATTTACTTATGATTCGAGCACTAGACTATACCAAACGCAGTAAATCATGGAACCAATACACTGAGGAGATGTTGCAATCAGACTCAAACAGCAAAATGCAGGTCAGAAAATATAGAAAAACGGCTTGAAATGGCATGTCTATTGTATATTTTGATATATATACATGGTTAAGGAAAAAATAACCATCTATATACATAAAAGAGGCAGTTACAAAAATGTACTATTCCAGTCAATCGCTATACATGATACACAAATAGTTTCACAGCACATTGGGTGTTGGGCACACACTTTTTACGCCATGCCTGCTATAAATATAAATCTCCTTTTGTCTCGTTCAATTCCCACTGACAACAGCAGCAGCAAAAACAACAACATTTGGAGCAAGGGGCTGCTCGAGTTTCTTAGATTAGTGTATGATTCATTTTGATAATTAGCATTTTTACGCAAAAAGGGGCAATAAGGGGAACATGAAAAGGCTAAATGGCCCTATACAAGCCACTGCTCACTCCAACCAGGCGCAAAAAAAAAAAAAAAAAAAAAAAAAAAAAAAAAAAACTTTCCATAGTTGCATATTGCTTTATTTTTCTGTTGTATTGATATAAAGCAAAGATGTACTGTGATCTTAATATACCATGCTCAGCACAACGTGATCGCTCAGCCATTGACAAGCTAAAACTGATTCTGTCGCGTCTAACACAATGTAAATCACTTGCCCACCCACACAAATAAAAAGTCCCGAGATTAATCACCAACATTGCTAGTGAATGAAGCTACAGTTGCATTAAACTATACAATGGAATCCAAAGTAATAAGATGGAATAAGAATTGGAAAAGGAAATGCCGTATTAACATCTTTCCCTCTTTTTACAAAGATCCCAAAACCAATAGATGAAAGTATATTCGATCCCTCTATACTAAACTCGAAATATCCATTGAAACTCTATAAAAGGGTTACCATTGATGCTATCAATCCAGTAAGAGCTGATATTGTGTGATCTGCCTTGTACTTAACTCACTCCTTTATGATAGCAACACATCGCTGAATTAAGAAAGCAATTTGATTTGATTGCTCTCAAGACAAATGACTACACAGTATTCCATGCAGCTTGTCAATCCAATCTAATCGATATTATATCTCTCTACGCGGATGAACGTCTTACATTTGAATTGAGCTCTGTTGACATTAAGAACGCATTGGAACGAAATATTTACTTTGAGATATGTTATGCTCCTGCTATTCGAGGTAAATATTTTGACGGCATTACCTCATTCTTTGCTAATACATCTAGTACGCATAGATGCTCAAGCTAGAACATACACAGTGCAATTGGCAAAGCAATTGTTTGAATATACACAAGGCCGAAATGTAATCATCTCGAGCGAGGCACACATTGTATCCGAGATCCGCAATCCTGCGGATGTCTTTTATTTGTAAGTCAAAGTGCCTATTTTCCTGATGTATAATATCGACTCATCTCTCCCTACGCATAGTGCCAAATCAATTGGATTTCCAAATGATAAAGCCAAGTTCACAGTCGAGAAGCATTGCGAGCAACTATTGAATAGTAGATTAAATGTGAAATAAACGCTTGCTCATGACGTAAAGGAGAACATGAATCCTGATGTTAATTTGACGCGGAGATTCTTGGTTCAATGCTGTTCAAGGTTTTGTGGCATTGCTCAAACCCTTCAAATGAGTCCCATGCTTTATGATTTTTCCCTTTTTCTTCTTGTTTTACTATTAAGCGCATTATAATGAGCTATCATTATCAATCATACTCGCATACAACCACCTCTACAAGCTCAGGCGGTCAAACGCACACAACATCTACCACCAGAACCACCACATCGTCCTCAGAAAATGGTACTACCTCCTCAGTCATTGTGCGTGAACTATCTGAGAATGAGCTCAGTGGATTGTCCTTGGAATCAACACAGAATTATGAAATTACAGACGACGATTGCCTGACCAAGTATGATTTCTACTCTTTGATGGACTCTGATGATAATGAATCAGAGACAGAATCCGAGTCTGATATCGAATACCATTGGTTTCCCAGTTTGCTGAAGACTTCCTTTATCGAGTTCTTGGACGATAAAGAACAGGATGCTTACATGGAGGATGATACCTATGATGCCAAAGTGCAAATTGAAGAAAATAGTGATTCCGCTTCTCCCGAAGACGCGGAAGAAGAGGAAGAGGAAGAGGAAGAAAAAGAAATGGTCCAACATCATTCTCGTCGTGGTGGAAAAAGATATCACAAACGACATGCAAAGAAACACTCCAAAAGACCCAGAAGATCCGAGCAAGTCCCTGTTGAAGTCGTTCATGTCGTTCTCTAAGCTGTCATTTCATTCAATTTCACATTATAAATAAATTCATATAATAACTAGCAGTTGTTCATTTCTACCATAACCGAAAAATGTTGAGAGATTGCGTGTCTTGAAAGTGATTTAGTGTTTGTGAGCCAATGCACTGCTTTGCCCAGTTTCGTGTAATGGCAACATATTAAAATATGTCTCCCATTATAATAGTTTAGCATATGGCCAACAAAATGTCTACCTGTTGTAATTACTTGATTTTGCAATTAAAATAATTGCTAAGTCTAAAGAAAATGTATAAATAGTGATTTGAATGCTGTTTCAAGTATGTGATCCATCAGGGATATTGAGTTCGTAACGCTTTTGCACCCAATAGATATATGCACTAAAACTTCATTCATTTTCAACTGATAACTCTTTATTAGCGAGCTGTAATTGCGGTTATGGCTCTTCTAAGGTGCTCCGCATATGTATCAATGAGGAGACTTCATTTGCAGACAGACAGCATACCTGCAATGCCTCTAGTCACCCAAAAGTAGGTAAAGCACAGCGTAATTTGGATGCATTTGAGCCTTAATTTCTAGTGTTGAAAGTCGTTTTGGTCCTCGAGCATAACACCAAACAATTGCTTTTATCTAGCACTTACTTTCTGACACCTTTGCTCAACTTTTTTTGGGATCGTCAAAATCGACCAAAAAATCATGAGTGATACCTCATGATTTTCATCGAAAATCAAACGATCGCGTTTTTGACTTCAAAAATGAAGACTTTTACTATAGCATCTATTAGATCAAAAGGATGCTATGGATCCAATGCCATCCCTGGAACTTTGTTTATGAGACTTTTATATAGAAAATCTCGACATTTTGGCCAAAATAGCTATTTCATATCTTATAAATTTACTCATTAAGCTTATTCAAAACACTTGTTTTAATTAACACTATTCGATGCGTCTTGAAAAGTACTCTAAGAAAGCTTAAGGAAGTATGAAATGATCTTTACAACTTACATAATCAAAGATGGTAAAATAGATCAAACAGGTCGATTTTATTCAAAATCTGACCAATCTAGGGCAAAAATTGAGCGGGAGTCTAATTGGGTTTGGCTGCGGCTGGCTGGCAATCTCAATGGCTGTCAAATCATGAAAACTACCAATGTTTGTGGATCCATTGGGAAGGAACTAACGGATTGAAAAGTACCGTAGCTTAGCTTGACTAATTTCTGTTGCTGCTGTTGTATATTTTGTGTATATAATAGATTTAATCGTTGCCAATCACTTATTCAAATGCTGCAAAGCCTGATGCGAGATGCAAAATAATCGCCCTATTCAATTTACCCATGTTATTTCAAGTAGGATCTAGTTCTGGTTTACTAAGAGTGCTTGAATTATACACCTCACAATGTATTTAAAACAATCAAATTTAAAAATCCTCTCCTAGCAGCTCTAAGGCTTCCAATGGAATGAATATCGGATTTCTGATCATTTCAGGCAACTGGTGAATTAACCAAGAAGGCAGCCTCTTATGGCACAAAATTGTCACCGACTTTGGGTAAACCAATATCCAGAGGGGAGCGTTATGTGAAGCCGCAAATGCTGAACAGAAGTGGCTGTTTATGGATCAAGTGGATATGTACGCCAAAGCCGCGCACCAGATGATGGGAATTTTTTTTTTTTGTAATGCGCGCTGACAGACAAGGTAGCCGTATTTTGTATTGCCTAATACCACTCTCTCTTTTTTTTTCCGGGAAATGCTGATCAAGTACTGAAAACGACATTAGCAGCATCATGCCGAAAGCCAACAAGAAGAAGCCTAATTACAACGCTTGACAACAAAAGTTAGATTTGGGGAAGAAAGCGATGATAAAGACAATGCTAAAACTGCAGAGCGAAAGTTTTCTCAACAAGCAATGTGAGCTAACGTTTCTAGGAGGGTGACTAGATGTTTACGAAAATGTATTTGAGTTTTTAGCTCAACATAGCTATCAGTGAGCAAATAATCTTAGCATTGCCAATCAACGAGTAATCAAGTTGAAAAAGTGAGGTTGGAAGTACATACATTATAGTTGCCTTTTAGCCTTTTGATGTGAGTGCACTCAATGTTGTACATGAATGGATCAATGTACAAATTGTGTTTGAATTGATCCACACCACGCATTACACAAGGAGCTCATCTTCCTGTCTTCCAATCAAAATAAACCATACACAGCCATCCTCTCAACCACAAGCAGATATATATAGTTTCCCCCTCATTCTTGACTTCTGCCTTTGGGAGAAAATGCAGTTGATATTGTATAAATATAGACAAAATGATCTGATTTGTAATTTTTGTCAGCCATATCTCAACTGAGGTTCAAGTCTAATATATGTACGTGTGTATAAGCAAGTTGTATTAATAGACAGATATGCTGTTGCGCCTGAATAAAGTAATCAGAATTGCGAATACACACATCCCTCGTGCAAACTTAAAATCGTTTGGGATTGCCTATTTGCCTGTATCAAATTACGCAGTAAATATGCATGCATTTGCCAAAAGAACATCACAATGGATGCATGTGAATGATATCATCGGAAATAGGCAATTGACAACATTTTAAGCACTTAGATCGATGGAGAGCCAAGATGTAATAACTGTAGATAGTTAGTGCATTCTGCTTATGATCGACGACGAGGCGAGTAAGCATGTTAATATTACACCATGATTGGATGAGCCGTATTAATATGGCAATTTCCGCAACTCAAATTGTATGGTAGTTCCACAAGGCAACTGTGATTTAACATGGCTGTCTTACTAGTCAGTGGCATGTAACTCCCGAGGCTTTGGGTTACACTACCAGCACTATCCCCGTTGAAGGCGAGATGACTGAACGTTCTAGCCTTACCAATTATATATAAACAAGCCAAGACGAAGGAAGAGGTGCTTTTCCCTCTTTTATTTTTGTTTTGCTTATTCATTCAGATATATTTCTTCCGTTTCGCATACACATGGCACCCGTGTTAGATTCAGGAGTGTTTACTGCCCCACATGCGCCAGCAGTGTCACTAAATGACATTTGCTTTTCCAGTGCATGTGTCCAAACAGCAGCAAGTCTCTTGCAATCAATGGATATGAACATTGATCCTTGCTCTGATTTTTATCAATACACATGTAATAGAATAAAATTGCGATAGAAAGCTTAATCCTTGGCATTAATTTCCCATTGTTTCATGTCCTGTTAATTAGGTGGTAATTGGATTAGAGATGCAATTATACCAGAAGACTTGGCAGGTATATATAAATCATATCAGCTTGCTAGCAATCAACTAAATTCACTGCAGGATTTGGTGTTATAGAGTCTGATTCAACCTACCATAAAGATAAACTTCGCACTATTCTGGATGGAAGCTACTTTGATTTGTTGACAGCAACAAAATCTCGATCAAGCTTTCGAGTGGGCACAAAAGACGGCATCAATATAGACAAGCGAAACTTCCAAGTCGTCAAAAACTACTACACATCCTGCGTCGAAATCGAATCAAGCGGCAATGAAGCATTATCGAGCTTCTTTAACGACATGAATGAGCTCATTTACGAAACAACACAAACAAGCGACACACAGTTTCAGTTGACGGCAAGAGCAGCAGATCTTGTCAGTTACCCTAAATCAACCGACGCTATTGTGATCGAAGTAGGCGGGCTGTTCACCATGGAGATACTGCCAAAAGAGAACGATAGAACCGCAATGACCATCATCGTATACCCACCCTCTGAGCTCAGTGATGCAGACAAAGGGCCTCTTGAAGACGAGGATCCCGAGAAGCTCTTTAGCCTGACATCTTCGTTGTTTGGATTTCAAAACGCCACAGACAGAGATCGTGAAAGAGTGTCTTTGCTGGAAGACACTGAACTGAAGATGATGACTGACCCTGAAATCCATGCCATGATTGGTGATGCTATTTCTGTGCAAAGCAGATTATATCAACTGAGCAAAGCCTCGTATGTTTATTTATAACTATCAAGATTTTTTTTTTTTTTTTTTTTTTTTACTAACACGATAACCTATAGCGATGATTCGACTTTTATATCTTATTCGCTGGACGAAATTTCAGATGCCCTTCCATTCGTTCACTGGGCATCCATCATTGAATCTAATGTACCGCAAGATCGAGACATATCTGATTTATACCTGCAGATCTACAACGTGGAGTATTTTCAAGAACTCGAGTATTACAGTAGCGTCGATGATCCAACCCGCAAATTGCATAAAGACGCTATCGTCAACTATTTAATCTTACACAAAATATACCAAGATGCAAGCAAATTAGATGCCGAAATGCGACGTATCATGCCTGATACTCCATTCCAAACAAGATCCAATCTCTGTGTCGAAAAAGTCCTGGAGAACCTGAACCTCGTTTCTGGTCGATTCTACTCTATGATTACCTCAAATGGCGAATCTGATCGCATCAAGTTGGGTGAAATGGCAGAAGCTATCAAGGAATCTCTTGGTAATCGCATTAAAAAGGCGAATTGGCTGGACAATTCTACTAGAAGTTCAGCTATCAAAAAGGTAAACAACTGTCTACAGAAGCACATGAGCAACGACGACTAAATTCGATTCTACAGCTTGACGCCATGCAAAAGTCGCTTGGATACAGCACATCGTCTCCTGATGAAAGGTCACCTCAAGACATTCACAAATACTTGCGCGGACTCGAAGCCGATGCTGATAATTTTTATGACAATGAGAAAGCCGTAGCTCAATGGACATTGCAAATATATTGGGATACCATCGGACGTACGATCAGCCCTACTGAATGGATTGGTGTAGCAACCCCTCAAGTTGTCAACGCCTTCAATTTACTATCCAAAAATAGCGTGAGTATCTTTTACAGAGCCTCTCGTTTCGCCGTCGTATCTCACACATGTCTTGAATGTACATAGATTTTCGTGAGTGCTGCATTTGCTCAAAAGCCAAACTACGATCGCTATTATCCTGACTATCTCAACTACGGTGGTATCGGACAAACATTGGGTCATGAGTATTCGGTAATGAACGCGATCTTCATGTCATCTAATTTCAATTAATATTGACATGCTCCTTGTTTTGTGTAGCACGCATTTGATGATTACGGCTCTCAATACGATGAACTTGGCATTGAAAGAAACTGGTGGTCAGAGGAAACCAAGTACAAATACATGGAGAAATCGCAGTGCTTTATAGACCAATACTCCAGAGCCAGTATTACGGACGAGAAAGGCAAAAAGTATAGCATTGATGGATCTGTAAGTGTAGTCTATCATGATGTAAGATATCATACTAACAAGAGGCACAGCTGACATTAGGTGAAAACATTGCAGACAACGAAGGATTAGCCGCAACATATGATGCCTATCTCAAGTCCAAAGAAAATGGAAAGGGATACAACCCTATTCTTCCTGGACTACAAGAATTCAGCCCTGAAGCCTTGTTTTTTATCAACGCGGGTCGTTCATTCTGCTCCAAGCCTTTACCAGGAAGCATCAAAGATTCGGTGAGTGCTTATTTTTAGCTCCCGCTACGAGCATTCTTACTGATATTTGATATGTAGATCAAAGATGAACATGCTCCCGACGCTGTTCGGGCAAACAAGGTGTTTCAAAACAGCAAAGAGTTTGCGCAGGTCTTCAAGTGTCCCATTGGCAGTAAAATGAATCCAGCAAACACGGAAAAGTGCAGCATCTGGTAGAATATAACCCCTCGAAAAAAGAGAGGAGATCATTTGTAAAATTACACACACATTCACATCATCTTGTAAATAAAACACTTAATATTATACCATGTATTACATGTAAGAACGTATTCAACGCATTGACCACATTGTGTTGTATACATACACCATACTGCTTTCTTATAATTTATACAATTTGGGCTAGCCCAAGTGATACACACACACGGCATTACCCTATTTTATTCCTTACGGCAAAACACATAATAAAGCAAAATCATCTCTATGAGAATAGAGCCATACGCACTTGTGCTTTGCATCAATGTGCTTTTGAACAGCGTGTCTTACTCTACTGAGGGTATCTCTTTGGCCAATACCAGCATGATCCAAGAGTTTCTTGTACCCATCGTCCTGCCAAAAGCTGTATTCTACCATGTTTTTGACAAGTTCCTTGGGTAGATCAAATGCAATGACTTGGACATCCTTTTTCAGATCATCCATGATGGGTGTCAGACGGTTGATAGCTATGTATGGGTCAGTCAAGGCTGCTCCATTGATCGTTTCCCTTCAAACTACCTTTATCAATAAGCACAGTTTTGTGCTTGTGCTTCATTTTTGTACGCTCTTTGCCACGTCCTTCGTTAAATACAATATTGACGTCAAAGGCCGTTTTCTTTTGATCTAGTCCATCACCTTTGGATAAATCATGAGAGAAGGGATCATTTCGCACTAGAATTAAACAAGTAAGTACGCTTGCTCTGCTACTAGACCAACACCCCTTTACTGTACCTGAATCTGATGTGTCCTTTGACTTCAAATCATGTTTACTCTTTACTCTTGCCACTGAATCCACTCTGATTTGTTCATTGATTTCGGTCGACAACCAAATGCAAAGATCAGACTTGCTTACTTCTGTTTCGGTTCGCCGTAAGACATCCTTCACCTTGACCGTAGTAGAATCAGATAACGACGACGACTTGCTCTCTGAATTCTTGTGCTTGACAATAACAATCCAATTGATACTGGCCTTTTTACACAATGAAACCAAATCTTCAGGTGTCAGATAATCACCATCATTGTATTGAAATTCAGCTCGAATACCGTGGTTCCAAAGCTCCTGCACAATCTCTAAGCGTTCCTGAATCAAGACTTTGCCGAAACTAGCCACATAGACATCGCACTTCTTGGGTGCCCATATACCAAAACTTCGCATCTTTTCGTTCTTGGCCTTCATCAGGTATTTTACTTGCTCTGATTGATGCATGTCTAAATGGCGTATCAGTTTTTGGACTGCAATATTGACACCCACCGCGCGCAGTTTTCGATTGGCAGTGGCATTGGGATGTGCAAAATGCTGTACAAGGAAATCGTATCTAGGAGATATTTTGATGAGTCTCAGGGTCTGTCATGTAAACCAGCTACAGTCCTACCTTCCACCTACGGCAAGCACATCCTTGCGTTTGGAGTCAATAGTGTCTGCCACTGTTTCAAACACCATGCCATTCTTGTAGAAATGATTATTGTATCTAGGTATCAGAGGGTCAAGCTTCATCAATACCTAAGTCGAATGCATACACTGTACTGTCCACTTACACTAATAACGGATGGAATATAATCTTGTGATGGATACCAATGTGCTTGCTGACAATCATCAAAGTACGCAATTCACCAATACAATCTCTGAATTTAGCCTTGTGAGTTCCAGGTAGCAACCCCTCAATCTTCTTGACAATGCTCTCCAATTCACCGTGCACATTGAACATGGACAGCTCATCCAACACACTTCGCTGCAAATGGTACTTTAATTTGAGAATGTTGCGCACAGCAGCAAATGATGGTGCTCGCCCCAAACTAGACAACGCCACCAACACTCCCTTTCTGATATCTGGAGGCACGCGACAACTGTCAAGAATGATATCTGTGATGCCTGTATGATTGACCATAAAGTAAAAACCGCCGTTTTTGTAAGGAGGCAATTCCTCCAAGACTTCTTCCACTACCTTGAGTACCTCCGCGTCAGGCACCATAGGCGCTGTTTCTTTGTGCACGATATCGAAATCGGCCTCCAACACGGCTTCAGGTTGACCTCCACTTTGGTTCTCTCGATACACCTTGTCAAACGTAAAACGCTTCAATTCAGGGAATCCTTTCTGTCGCGCAATGTATCTTGCAAATGGCACTGTTTGGTCATAAGGAAGCTGGTTCAAAGCACCTTGGGAATCCATCAGATACACAGGGTTCTTCCAATTCCATTCATACAAGTCGTTCTTGGGGATCAACAGAGGGGCAGAAACATCGATTGCACCGTGCCGTCTAAATACTTTGGCCATTTGCTCTCGGATGCAGTCGAAAAAGATGTGGCTAAAGGGATCAAATACCGTCTCTGCGTTGGTCTGGTAGTCGTAAGTGAAATCCTTATGTCGATCCGCTGACTGAGAGAACATGGCAGACATGAGTTTGTCGTAGTAAGGCGTGTTGGGGTTGGCAATGGTGCGTACGCATTCTTTGATATACTCGTCTTCTAGCTTAGGAGGCAGCAAATCACTGCGCAAAAGCTCAAAGCTGTTGGGACGATCCTTGGGCTGTGGTGAAAGCAGAATCTTGATAATCTTCTTTTGGTTGACGTAATTGGCAGGGAAATCCTCAGGGAACTTGCCATTGCGAAGCTCGTTCAATACAATGACGCGCTGCATACCTGTCGAGAGGTTGTAGCACATTTCGAAAAAGATGACACCTAATGAAAACATGTCTACCTTTTGATTGTATCGCATACCAGAGGTAGCACCCGTGGCTGGATCAGGCATCACCTCAGGAGACACGTAGAATGTAGTGCCTACACCAGTTGTCATGCTTTCATCTGCTCCCAAATGCGCACTGGAGACTGAGTAGCCTGTATAACTTGCATTCGTGCTATCAGCAGCAACACCCGCAGCAGAGGTGGTGATATTGAACCTATCCGGCATACGATGACTAGCGTTTCTGGCAAAAGACGCGCCATCCACCAGCGTCTGATTTGTCGTGGCTAAACCAAAATCACCAATTTTGACATCGTTGTTGGAGTCCAAGAAAATATTAGCAGGTTTCAAGTCTCTGTGGATCATTCCCTGTGAATGGATATGAACCAGGCCCTCCAGGATTTGACGAAACAGACGCCATGCTTCTTGCTCATCGATGCCTTCGTCAATTACATCTCGCAGTGTCTTTTTCTCGCAATACTCCATTTGAATGTACAAGACACGCGTGCGGTGCTGATGGATGCGCTTCTGGCTCTCGCTGCTTTTTTCTTCTGCCTTTTTCTTGAGATTGTTAAATGCTTTACGAACAAGGCGCTGCTTTTTGGTGGAGGCTGTATCGGTGGTTGCGTCGCTTGTGCTGCCAGTGTCAGTCTCATCATCGCCATCACGAGCAAAGGAAATAAAATCGTCTGAATCATCTCCTGTGGTGCCATCGTAGGGCGTGGAATCGTCCTCTTCTTCGCTGCTGCTGTCGTCGTCGTCAAAGCGGATAGCTGAATAACTCTTGCTCTTGCTTTTGGATTTGCGATTGTCCACAGACAGGAAGTCATGAAACTGCTGTTTGTAAGCACTAACATCGCCGTCTTCGTCATCGTACTCTGATTCTGATTCATCCGAGAAATCCTCATCATCACTGTCCTTGAAACTGGCACCGTCTTCGTCCTCAAACCAAGTAGCAAAGTAACGCACAACATATTGATGATGCAAGCTGGATAACGAATGCACTTCTCGCAGAATCTTTCGTAAATCCTCGCTGTCTCTGGGATCCAGTCGAATCTTTTTGATGGCATACAAACGGCCATCGAGTCTGTTTCGTGCCTTGATGACTTCACCAAAACCACCTTTACCCAAAAACTCAATCTCTTCAAAATCTGTCTTGTAACGAGAGGTGCTGATGATAGGCCCAGGGTTTGAATCGGAAGAAGCATTATTGTGGGCATGCATATTTGGGTGCTGTGTGTTGCCTGTCATAATGGTGGCCACTCGGTTGTGATTATCAGGTGGATAGATGGATTTGTTGAAATCGGGTGCCATGGAAGGTTCAAACAGCTGAGGCGGCGGTGGTGGTGGGTTCTTGCGATCTGCGTGGTTGAATTTACCAGAGTTCATATGAGGAGCCACTACATATTATTTTAGCACACGATCATGTACAAAGGACGCATAAACAACATACCATTGGTAGAGAACACAGGCGGTGCTGCTTGTTCCGATATCATGGCTTCATTATCTCCTGCAAAGAATGCGTCGTTCATCAGATCGATGGCTGTAGGTCTTTTTCGTGTATCAGGCTCAAGTAATCTCTTTGCAAAGTCATTGGCAATAGCTGGCAACTCTGATCCCGCAGTGCGCAAAAAGGCGTCGAAATCACCAAATTCTTTAGTCACATCAATACCCCACAGCATTTCAATAAAGACGACGCCCAGACACCATATATCGTTCTTCCGTCCATAGACGCCTGGTCGCTCTCGCAATTCAGGCGAAGACCATGCTGATGTGGATTCCCCTCGAGGTGTCTCGGCATCTTCGGCTGTTTCGATCAAAAAGTTGGATTTGTTCAGGTCTAAGCAAGTGCAGTGTTAGTGCAACATGTCTTTTCTGATGCCCCATATAGGCTTACCATGCAGACGCTTGTTGTAACTGATATCAGCCAACTTGACAGACTGGTTGTTGCTGCAGAAAATACTGTTGGATCGGATATCTACACTGCTATCAACCATCCAGGACTTGTTCAACATGCCTCCGTTGTCTTACCTTTGCAAATGAACCCATTGAGATGGATATGATTCAATGCCCACAATAGCTGCTTCATGTATTTGCGCACAATAGCCAATCGCAAACCACCGCCGCATTTCTTGAGCAAGTCATACAAACTACCACCTTGCTCGTATTCCATCAAGATATGCAATGTCCACGTATTGCGGTCAATGCGACTACGATCCAAGCGAGCATCGTAAATATTGAGTATATGCGGGTGCTGAATAGTGCGCAATCGATCCAGTTCTCTTTCAACATCCTGCAGTTTCCTCTTTCCGGCTTGCGTTGTATAATAGGACCCGGTAACAACCACTCGTTTGATGGCTAAAAGGCTTGGTAAAACCAGACTATCCACATCCTCTGTGTTACCATGTTCGCCTGTCAATTTGTAGTTGAGCGGTTGAGCAGAAAACGTTTCACCAACAACACCTTTTCCAACGCAAGGTCCAACTGCAACGGTGTGAAAACAGATTCGTTTGGGTATGATGCCGTTCTCTTCCTTTTCAATGGCCACAGTAATCAAATTCTCAAAGTGGATCATCTTGATATCACTGCTGTCCAAACTGTTGAGCGCATCTGAGCTATCAAAATGAGCATGAAAGTCATCATCGACAATCGCTTCACCGCCATCCGTAAATCCAAAGTCTTGTCGATGCTGTCTGGCTACTCTGGCATGCTCTCTCTTTCGTTCAATGTCTTGCTGGATCTTTTCATTCATCATATCAGACTGAACTCGCAACTCAGCTTCTCTTTCTTGTCGTTTTCGAGCCATTTCCTCCAACTCACGTTCCCTTTCCACCTTCATATCTTGTTCATTGCGAATCATCATTTGCTCATGTAGGGTGAGTTTTGAGATGGCAGATGGTGGCGCATTGTGGTTAGCCAGGAAAGCACGAACATGGTCGCTCAAGTCGTACATCATCTCCTGACCGAGCAGATGCTGAGCTGTTTGTTGGAGTGATTGTGTCAGTTGTCGTAAAATGGCAGGCGATAATCCATGAGGATTGATAAGATGAAGCTCGGGTGGTTTGTTTGGGTATGTCTTGGGGAATCGTACTTTAAGATCCACAGTTGTATGTGCTTCGTTTTCTTCTACACCGAGAGGATACAAGTGTAAAATGAACTCGGGGTCAGAGTGAGATACCTACATCATACCAGTCAACAACGTGTGTGTCCATCAACCCCCTCCCCCTTTCATTTGACATTTACCTTCCAAGCTGTCTTATTCACAACCTCATGAAAATCCTCCATAAAGATGGCTTTTAAAGCCTCGATTTCATTCTGTTGGACTTCTTTGAGTGATTCAAAGTCGATGTTTGTTTGCATAGTAGTGAATTTTTAATGTTGTATAAGTGGGGTTCTTGCTTCTTTTTCGATAGTGTCTGATTCTTTTGTAATGAGAGGAAAATAACGCTCTAATGGTTATTTTGCTCCATTTTTTTTGATACGCTTATACTGGGTAAATGGGATGGTGGTTGTTGTGTCGATAGAATAAAAAATATAAATGGCAAAGAGAAAAGTAAAAAATGATCTCAAACAACACGTTTGATTTTATATGTGGGTTTGTTCTGCGGGATGTTAAATGCGTTGGTATTTGTCGTTATGACTCTTTTGCAGAACAGCAAGATATTCATTCATCTCAACCAAATACTCATTATGTCATTTGAACAACCCTACATGGCCCTTTCGCTAATAGCAGTTGTATGCCAAATTCTCCAATTCTAAAGTATAACTGGGTAGCCACATAGCATCTCTGCCGGTGGAAAAAAGAGGAGTTGGTCAATTTGTTGCGAAAGAACTTTAAAATCAACTATGCAAATTTACCGTTCTTTGATAAACATCAAGTCGGAGCGAAAGCGTACAAAACGTAGAAGTAACAATCAGTTGTATCTCCAGTTCCCTGTAAGGCGACGAGCTTCGTTTTGAACATCGATTTTGGAACATGCGGCTGATAGGCAGCAGTTGTAGGCTTTAAATTATTGATAATGCCTTATGTTATCGTTCAAACGTTCGAATGCTCTTGAGAACAAAAATACTCCAGGTGCTTCTGACAAAAGTTTGGTTGGATACTCTTTACATGCAAGAAATTAGAGGATTTCAAAAGAATTTCGAGTAAGGTGGTCGCTTCAATTGAACGCTTGAATTTGAGAGAAACTAGTGATTATCCTGTCCCCATAACTGTCCTATTTCATGACTCATTTTTTGTAGCTATAAAACAGAATCATCGCACGCTCGTCTTTCCTCTTTTTTCTCTTATAATTTCTCTTTGAATTTCAAAATCGAAATTCAAGCTTTGAAATTAGCATGTTCCTATAGCGATTTTTTGTGTAAAAGACGATGGTGCAATTGGATTTTAGATAGGAAGTGTAGGTGATGAGGAAACGAAGATTTTTGAAATTTGCAAATTTAGAGTAGATGCTATTAATAAAGGTCATTGGATTACTATATGAATGTTGGTTGTATGTCTAGAAAAAATTGTAGAGGGTACTTTGGTTGATTAGGAAATGTTGTACTTGGGCTTGCTGAGAACAATGTGGATGAGTAATGAGGAAAAAGAGTGAAAATGGACAAATTTCAAAAGGCCGTACCGGTTGATTTTACTAAGTGAACATGAGCTTAAAGCTTAATAGCTTCTGTTTCTTTTTCAATTCTCTATACGATAATATGGTTATTATAGATAAATAAATATAAAATTGAATATCCCCTGCTTGTAGCTCATGAAATATAAGGTTTTGAGCAAATTTATACAGGGAACGTACATCTGGTACTTTAAACCCTTACATTATAATGGATATAACGTGGAGCTATCGAATGGTTTTTGTTTTGTGTAAATCCAATGAGTATTTGTCGAGATATGGTCAAAAAAAAAGTATCATGCAAAATCATGGATTTTTCTTCAAAATCTGCCTGTGATAGCAAGCAAAAAATCTGGTGACGATTTTTTGGTCAGGACAATATTTTCAATATTTCATGATAGAGTCATGTCAGAGCTTCAAGCAATAGCTCATTCGATAGGAGATTTTTTGGTCTACTATGTTTAGTAATGCTTAACAAAATGTTTCGATGACAGATACTGTGGAATTTGAGGCTTGATAGACTAAAATTCACAGAAAAAAAAGAAAAAAAAAACAGTAATGTCAACTTGATAAAGGTATGTTTTATTATCAAACTGACAGGTGTAAAGTAAACTGAAGTCTCTCTACTGGCTAGGTAGATGATCCTTCTTATATACTATAACAATGGATAAAAGTTCTATTAATTAGATTAACAAATAAGTCAACTCAAATCAACTAATGTCTAATCATGCTAAAAGACAACTCCAGCAAGCTAATCATGATTTAGCTCTGTCTGGATGAATGATTAGACTCTCATCCGAAGTACCCTGATCTATCCTTTCTATAAGGATAATTAATATCGATCTAGTAGCATGTATACGATAGGTACAGTCTACTTAGTCTATATCAATGGTCCATATCTGAGTGTATATCGCTAAGCATACATCTTTAGCATGTATCTGGAGATATGGCATGTCTATAGCATATCGTATGCATGTCCGTAGCATGTCTCACATATAGTACAAGTCTGTAGTACATAAAGTATCTGTAGCTAGTATCACGGATATAAGCATGTGTCTTATAGCGTGGATCATAAAGTGCATATCTGAAGCAACAAGCTCATATTGCATTAATCTTGGTGCGTATCCAGATATGGTAAACATCCGTAGTCAATGTCGGAATACAAGTATAAGTCTATAGCGTCATCCATGTCCGTGGTGCCATCTATAGCCTATATCTTATATAGTATGAATCTTATAGTACTAACGTATCTGAAGTCCATATCTTCTTATAGTATAAATCGATATCGTACATCTAATCCAGTGTACATACGGTTTATATCTAAATCTGGTAACTGGATGAACTGTCGGAATGCAGATCATAGTGGATGTATTCCACAAATAGATTCATATTTGTATAATGTCATTGATGCTCGAGCTTTTAAATCACTGTAATCTCACATTTCAAGATACAGATCGTATCTGGTTTTGTGCAATGCAGAAAATCCCAGTAGCTATAAAGCACTGTAATTTACCTACTTGCTCGGCAACACAGCCTACTACACCACCTCATTTTTAGGTCAAATTTTGTCCAAATGTGGCCGTTTTTCAACTCGAATAACTCATGCCACAAAGCGTTTTGGACGCTTGGAATAGTGCCAAACGGCTTCCCTTGGCTACGCTTTACTTGCTGATGCTTCATTTCAAAATTTTTTGGTTCATTGAAAATTTATGAAAATCATCGTTTTTTTCACGAGTATTAGCAAGGAAAAATTCTCGTAAATCAAACGATCGCGTTTTTCACCCAAAAAATGAAGATTTTTTCTATAATAAATATAAGATCAAATTGATTGCAAATACGGGATGCAACACTGGAAACTCTTCCTATAAAATTTTCCTATGTGAAATTTCGACATTTTGGCAAAAAACATGTTTTCATATTTTTGCAAATTGCTCATTATTTTCGATCTGAAAGCTGAATGTAATGAGCGCCATTTGGTGCATCTTCTTTAGTTCTGTAAAGTTATACTAGAAAGACGGATGTGATAACGAGAGTTTTTATAGTCAAATTTGGCAAAAACGTTTAAAAGATGTTAGATCAAGATAAGTTTGAACACGAAAATACCCACTGCACAAATTCATATTAAATTACCGCAATTGAGGCTGCTGCGGCAGAAGACTGAGGCCAAATCTACTGGCCGTGACGTCGGATAGGGCGCCCTCTCATTCTTCCATATCACCTTTTTTTTCCCTTTTTTGCAAAACGCGTTTAATATCAAACCATGGTGGTTTTGGAAACTCTTTGATTGATAATAACACTCTATCTACTGATAACACTGTCGTGCACTAATAGAAGTACTTTATACTGCTTCTTTAAAGTGGAATATATTAGGTATCATTCGATAACGAGCACTGAAAGGCGTAGAATTAACACTAACTGAATTTGTTTATTAGGTTTTGATAATTCTTTTTGTTTGTTTGATGTAGGTGCTGCTGCCAGTACTTCTCTGCTATCTTTGCTGTCTGCTTCTTTGGTGTATCATGTCTGGTGGTTGCTTCTTTAGCCTTTGCCCGGTCTCTGGTGTTGTTCATTCTTTGGTTTTTCTATGGTGCTGGTATTGCTGCTGCTGCTAATCTGGTCTTTCCTGGTCTACTGTATTTGCTGCATGCTCGTTCTCTGGTCTATCTCTGGTGGTAAGTAGTAAGTAACTTCTTTAGTCTTTGTCTGCTCTCTGCTAATGGCGTTCGTTCTTTAGTTTGTCTATGGTACTGGTGTTGCTGCTGCTAATCTGGTCTTTTCTGGTCTACTATATTTGGTGCATGCTCGTTCTCTGGTCTGTCTCCGGTGATTGCTTATACTCTTCTGGTCTATCTGTGGCGGTGATAAGTGGTAAGTATCTTCTTTCTTCTGGTCGCAATGATATAAAACTTCTTTGAACGCTTATATCATTGCTTCCTTTCTCGTGAGAATGCATTCATGATGTTTGCCTTGTTGCGCTTTTTTCTTTTTGTTTTTCTTTTGTTGGTAGTGTTTCCTCTGTAGCTTTACATGAAACAATACTAGTCATTATGTTGTATCGCAAACTTATAATGCCACTGTTGCTTTTGCAGTTGTGCGTATTTGCGTTATCATGTTGCTTTACATCCGACTATTACTACCATGCGCGTTGCTCATGTATGCATTTTTCTTGCAACAGCAACGAGCTTTTTTTTGGAACATTGTTAAGCACGAAGAATAAAAGGATTATTATTTGTAGCTTATAAAAAATGTTCGATATTATAAAAACAAGAAAAGACTTATTTGAATAAGATCAGACACAAAAACTAAAGATTTATTGATAAAGACAAGAGTTATTCTATTTATACTAAGTTCTGAATGCCAAAGTAGCAATTTATCTTGTACAACGCTTATCACATCTGGTGAACCTCAGTATTTAGATAGCTGAGATGCACTTCACTTATCATAGCTTGTCCATGTTGTTGCACAACACAGACATATCTACCCATCAAGAATACCTTAATCTTTATAGACAGTTGTAGCCCTTCTGGCACAACATTGCCCCCCCAGATTCAGGTACTTCTTGTGGACATTTCGTAATCCCAGATTACAAAACATCATGACAATATAGCACATAAAGCACTTTCCAATAAATAATTACCAAATGACACTGCATCCGAGATCAGTCAGTAAAAACCTTGTGTAAAAACCTTTCATAGGACAAAAATGTAAGGAAAAGACTTGATCCCATCATGCTAGTAGCCATTTAAGACC